TTCCCAACCCGCATGCGGGTTGGGACTAAGGTGCCCATTTCCCTACCCTACCCGACCCGAATGCAACTCTAGCGGCATCCTATGTATAGTATTTATGCCGTTAATCAATTCCATGTCGGAAGTGGAACTCTTAGTCACTTGGAACTGTGCATGAATGGTGGAAAGCTGAATTTCTTTTCTTGTGCTCCCGAAAGGAGTTGAGAATCCGTCGTGTATATTCCGTCAAACGGGTGCGCTTCCAATAGTAGATTCAATTGCCGTTCCCTTGTCACCATTGTTGGTAGTTAGTTATATCCATGTCGGAGTGAGGCTGGCATAGCATGACCGATTAGCCTGTCTAGCAATATATTACTGTTATTGGCATCCACTCCTACATGGTAGCATGTCTGCTGGTTGTGTGATTAGATCGAATCCGCGCAGAGCATTCGGGCCGTACAACGAGAATAACGGAAGCGGACTACACAGCGAACGGACGACGTATAATCGGAACCGGAGAGCTATAATAACGCTAATAAGGACCTAAAATGATTGATCAGAAGACCGAAGACCAATTGGAAGCGAGATAATACAGATATTGACAATTCAATTCGCACATGACGAAAATCTGAGTCGCGCGATTTCAATTTGGCCCACATGGCTATAACTATAAGCCTACCCATCCTTCGGGATTCAGACGATTGGACGAGGTGGATGGGCATGATAGCTGGGTATTCTGCTGAATTGGGCATATATGAAAAAAATTACAGAAGGCCTAAGACTAGTAGAGTTTATTCTGGGCAGGAAAATCCTGCAATGGACAGATGGTGAAAAGGAAATCTATAAGATCCTTCACCAGGACTGTACTCAGTCTCATAAGAAGTATGAGCGTCATCATGAAGGTTGGTTCCAAACTGAGTAACTGCATATAGGTGCTTCTATATAAATGAAGATGAACGGCCGAGACTGGCATCCCAGACAGAAAGCCGTGAGGCTCATTGAAGAGGCATTGAAGAAGAATACAAATCTCCAACGCCAGCAAGACACACACAAACCCAGAAAGGATGACAATGAACTTAGCAGCTGATGCAAGCGTGTGTTCACCCCTCAGCGCACCAAGGACATCCAACAGACAGTGATGTGTAACGCGGGACACAATGTGTGTCTCGTGGAATCCCCCCTAGAGCCGTACCATGACTGGCAAAGCGCTAAGATGTCTGGTGGTTCGACAGACGATGTGGAGAGCAACAGTTCCAATCCTTCGACAACCAGCTTCCAATAGGAATCACACATTGCCTTTTGAGAAAGTAGAAATATGCTGATGCTGCGGATAGGCAACATGATCCTGTTATATCTGGAGGATCAAGTCAATCGCCGCCAAGTCCCTTGGCTTGCTTTCATGAGTTGCGTGTGATTGAGCCCGTCTAGTTAACTGAGTTTTGAGCAATAGAATTCGCCGTTAACCGTTTTAATGACCTATTTTCCTTCTCCATCCCATTCCGTCTCTGAGCTGTGTCACACAGCTCAAGATCCCCACATTCACACTCCCCTTCTCTGAGCCACCGGTATGTAATACTCCACCGGTCACCCCGCGGCCTCACTGTTCCATCTGCCAGTGTGTCTGTCTTGCGCTTCTTAATGCCATGAGTCCAATACAGCCTCGCGTCGCCCGTCATCTGCATCATGCTCCGGGGGGTCAAATCAATATCCACTCCCTGCTCGCCCCTGCGAAACTTCATCATGACCGGTGCGCCAAAAGATAGGGCGTAAAGCTGGTCATAAGCCCTATGTGCATCTACATGGGGCGGGATGCCACTGCCTGGTGGATAGTACTGCAAACAGATCTGGTCCGGTGGTCGAGACTCAGTAGTCGGAATCAATGGTTGTAGCCAGTCTGGAAATTCCTTGTATGGGATGTCTGGATCTATGTCAAATGTTTTATAGTCGAAGGTGTAGCCGTAGTGGAGTGACAAGCGGCCGGAGTGATCCGGCCATTTTAACTCATTGAGGAAGATTGAAATAAGGTGTTTCTCGTGCTTCGGCGAAACAAAGTCATCTTGCCAGATAATTCCCGCTGGCTTAATAGGCAGCTCTTTGAACTGGCTTAGCTCCTTTGAGCCCATTCCCCTATCTTTCAACGCTGTGGCAGATGTGAGATGATGCATCCAGAGACGAAAATACACTGTGAAGGATGATGGCAGTCAAACTCTGCTTTCGCTTTTGCCGATTTTCTTTGGCACTTGTCCAATAATATCCGACACCAAAGTGGGTCTTATAATGCTGACATGAGACTAACCATATTCGTTATAGTACCATGTCAAGATGCACTCCCTGGAAGATATAAAGCATTAGAAACCGCCTTCGAAATTCATACCCTCTAAATCCTTCGATCCAGACTAAGAGATCATGTCTTCCCAGGTGATCCTCCCCTCAGAGACCATCATCCACCGGTGTGGTAGCTCCCTAGCCGGCAAGACAAGTATGCTCCCCCCCCCAGCTTGTACATCATCAATAAACCCTCCTAACGATAGTCCAGTCCTAATAACTGGTATATCCAGCCACTCTATTGCCGGCGAGCTCGCCATCCAATTAAGCGCTGCAGCCCCCCATCTCCTCATCCTCAGTGCCCGAGCTGAGGAAAAAGTCATCCCCATCGCCAGGAAAATCAAATCCACAGCCCCCAATGTCGAAATCCGATTTTTAAAAATGGATCTCGGAGACATGACTAGTATCAGAGAAGCAGTTGACACTCTTCGCGATGTCCCGAAGATCGACCATCTCGTATGTGTCGCGGGTGTCATGGTTCCTCCGTATGGAACTACCAAGGATGGGTCCGAGACGCAGTTCGGGGTGAATTATTTGGCGAATTTCTTGTTGATTAAACTGCTTCTCGTGAAGGTGAGGGTTGCTGGGGCCGGATCGTCGATTATCATTGTTGCAAGTAGTGCGGTTAGGAGCGGGAAGGTTGAATTCGGCGATGTTGGGTTTAGTGTTCGTCTCTCTGCACTCACCTTGGTATGTTTTGGTCTAATTATTCATAATAGGAGGGCAAAACATATGATCCTCTGGTGGCATACGCCCAGTCGAACGCTGCCCGGGTCATGCTTGTGAAGGCGCTTGCGGAGAAATTAGGAGATCAGGGAATCCGAACGTTTAGCATTGATCCCGGTGGTATGTATAGTCCCAGACATGCAGTAGGGAAGAAGATTGACCTGTTACTAGCCGTCCGATCTGGTCTGCAACGTCATTTTACGCTGGAATTTCAAGAGATGGTTGCGAGACTGCGAGGTTCTAGTGGTAATTCCTCGGCCCCTGTCCTAGTGAGCACTGCTGACGCCACCGAACAGGACTAGTCGACCTTGATGGTAAGCCGATTGAGTTGCCCCCCTGGAGCACAAAGTCTGAAGGCGCTGCGACTATTATCACGGGCATGATCGACCCCACGATCCAAGGTTCGTAGGCTGTTCCCGTGCGCTTCGCTTATGCAGTACTCACATTCACTAGATTATAACGGTGCCTTTCTCCATAACAATGCAGTGGCCGATGAGGAGTTGCATAGCCATATTCTAGATCAGAATAATTGGGCGAAGCTGTGGGAACTTAGTGAGCAGATGATCCACGAGTCGTTTGCTGTTTAAACGGTGTCTTAATTTGGTGTCATGTTGGAAGGATGTCATTGTGATAGTTTCATTGTGTAATCAAAAATGTCTCGCCCCGCTGCAACCTCCAATAATTCGTAGACTGGAAAGCCTCAGTAGATCCACTCCATAACCACCCCCATTTCCGCGCCATCTTTTCAGATATCTCATACGCAAACGGATCCCACGCCTCACCCCAGATCAGCAATCCAGTCGGTTGACTACAATCACCGGAGCTACCGAAGAGATCATGGCAAAGCTCATCCTCCGAGTACAGATGCAGATTCCGTAGAAGCGCGTCCCGGATCGAGGAGACGGGACACAAATCGATCCAGGGATGATGCATGATACTTTTTTGCAGGTATGTTGGTTGTAAACTAGGTGGTATATCAATGGTAGACGGACCGGGAGTATTAAACGGGGAGGCGATGTCTTCCGCTAAGAGCGCCATGGTTAGACCCATCGTAGTAGCGTTGGTGCTCATGGCACGGATGATGTTCCATTGAGTAACTGGCAGGAGTAATTCGGAGGATAGTGTGTTCGTGGCAAATGCTTGGTAGATGTGGTCTTTTAATTTCTTCAGGATGTTCTGGCGAGCATCTAAGCCAAGGTAGCAGAAATGAACCGTGTTCTCCTCGCTAGCTGGTGATTCCACCGTCCGGTGACTTTGATCGACGTAAACTGTCCACTTTCGAGCGGAAGACCTGGGGTTGTTGACAGATAGTAATGCTTTTCTTTTACCTATAGTGGTGTTTCGTGAGCCATCTCCTCGATGTCCATTCTTCTTGGTCACTTACGGCTGGCGCGCTGGTTCAGGCGATTTTGAACTCTTCTCCGCTCTTTGTGGGCATCTGCTTCGAGTGTTTCATCGTGATGTTCGGACGGGAAATGGCTGGCCATTTTATCTGAGGAATGAAGTTCATCAAGAGCAAAATGTGTTTAACCATAGTACAATTGAAGATTTTATGTCGGACGGAGTTAAAGCCATAACTCCGTCGCACGCAACTTTTTTTTGGCTCTGCCCAGAAGCGACGGTATGTGATAGCTTCGCAATAATTGTGGTAGGTTTCTTTCTCCATGTTTTCCTCCCTATATAATGCCCTCAGCACCTGATTATCCAGGTGGATTGTGTTTCTGGCATATTTGCCAGGTCCATAACCGGGTGCACCAAAGCACTGATGGGTCTACTCAGACCCTGTTGGCCTTATGTATACACCCGGAGTCAGAAAATGGATTTCCCTTCGCACACTAACGGCGGTAGGCAAGTTGCTTCTTGGCGATGAGCCATCGCACCTATCCCAGTATGCATGGTCTTACATTGGTTCTAAAGTTGGAAGCATATTCTCGACCTCGATCTCACGACTTGCACCCAAATGATGGATCAACTTCGCTCCAAGTTACCATCATGTACGGTTTCATTCGAAGAATGCGATGTATCCTCCGGAAAGAGCCAAGCTGCCGTGTTTGAGAAGATTGATGCTCAGCAAAGACGGATTGACATTGTCTTTACCAATGCGGCTATCACTGAAAAAGGAAGTTTATTGCCCTTGCAGAACGAGGACGGCAGCAAGGGACCAAGCAAGCCAAACTTTTCATAATGGAATGAGAATCTGCATTATCTGATCGGCGTCATATACTGTAAGCTATACTACCTCAAAAGACGCAAACTGGCAGAAGAGATACTGGCATGTTCACTTGACAGCCTTCCTTAATACATGTCCAAAACTCAACATCCGCTTCGCAAGGCGATGTGATCACGGTTCTATCATCTGTCGCCCAAGAGGCCTTCTTTGATCATCTACACATAAGATGGGCAGGCAGGACATGTTGACCGCCATGTACAGTCTAGAGTGAGGAGTTATTATTACTGTACTCATTGCCTTCCTAGATTACATACTGGCTGAGTCCATACCATCCAGAGCAAGGACGAAGATGCGCCGTGCACGCCATGTCGAGCCAGTGGGATGAGATGAAATTGACATGTTTACCCTTATATAGGAATTTAAGCGAAAACAGTCATTTTTTATATTCCTCTCCTTGCTTCCTGCCACCGGAAATTGTTTCTTGTACCCCAAGATCTACGGAGTATTAACGTCTCCATATTCCTTTGCATGTTTCACTGGTTTAACCATACTAGTGCGACAGTAAGGAGTATGTCACATCCCTTGGGTTCGGGTTACAGAGATTCCATTGTATATCCCTGGTATAATAGTTCTCATTGGCTGTTGGAATGCTACTTATTTTCCGATGGGAATGGGTTCTGGCCTTAACATTCCGGCGACATGAGATGGGAATGTTTGTCGAGGTACAAAATTGAGTGGAAAGAAGAGACATCGAGTATAAAATCTGCTTTGCCCTCGGGTAAGCTATGATTCTGAAGCTTCGATAATCAAATCTCTTTTCTTAATCTACCCACTTCCTCCTACTTCGCCGCCATGAAGCGTCCAACCGCAGCGAAGGCCCTATTCATGAGTTTTGGGGCTGCTGTCGCGCAAGACTACAACGCCCCGCCACCTGATCTTTCAACGCTCCCGAGTCTTTCTCTTTTTGACACTTGGAGACCTCACATCCACGTCCTCCCACCAGCAGGCCAGATTGGAGACCCATGTGCGCATTACGTTGATCCTGAGACAGGTCTCTTTCATGTTGGCTATCTCCACAACGGCACTGGCATTGCAAGTGTCCAAACAGATGACCTTGTTCACTATTATGATGTGAATGAGAACGGCAACTACTCAATTGTTGCTGGTGGTCCCAATGACCCCCTTGCAGTGTTTGATGGCTCTGTCATTCCCAATGGTGTTGATGGCAAACCAACACTCTTGTACACAGCAGTCTCAGCACTCCCAATCCACTGGACCCTTCCCTACACCCGCGGAAGTGAGGCCCAAGCTTTGGCAGTCACCTATGATGGCGGGAAGAACTTCACTAAGCTGGAAATTCCACCTGTTATTCCTGAACCTCCTGCTGGGCTGGATGTAACTTCCTTCCGTGACCCCTTTGTTTTCAAGAACGGAGAACTCGACCAAGCCCTCAACAGCGATGAGGGAACGTGGTATACTGCAATCTCAGGTGGTATTCAGGATGTTGGCCCTGGTATCTTTCTGTACCGCAATCTGAGCCCTGAGACTTTTACAGAGTGGGAGTATGTGGGAGAGTGGTTCAATGCACCAGCCAACTCCACCTGGGGCAATGGTGACTGGTCCAAGGTCAATGGCTACAACTGGGAGACCGTCAATGCATTGAGTCTTGATAGAGAAGGGTACAACGTTAATGGAAAGACTTTTGTGACTTTTGGCGTGGAGGGGTCATATGCCCCGATTCAGGAGTCTGTCACCTCCATGCATGCCATGCTTTGGGCATCATCCGGTGGTGTGTCAGCCACTGAGGATGGGGATGCAGTTTTCAACCCTGATATGGTTGGTGTCCTTGACTGGGGCTTGTCGGCATATGCTGGTGCCGGAAAAGTTGTGCCGAGCACCGCTCAAGCTTCCTCTGGCAGTGGCGCTCCGGACCGCTTCCTCTCCTACATCTGGCTGACTGGCGATGTGTTTGGAGGAGTTGTGGGGTTCCCTGCTGAGCAGCAAGGCTGGCAGAACACATTGCTGCTGCCGCGCGAGCTGTATGTAAAGGACATCCCGAACGTGGTGAACAACGACCTTGTCCAGGAGACTGGCTCATGGCGTGTGGCTGATGACTCTGGCGAATGCGTTGAACTTGAGACCCTTGGAATCGACATTGCGCGGGAGACCTATGACGCTATTACTAGTGCTCCAGGCTTCGATGAACCAGACAGGACGCTCACATCCGAAGGCGTCATCCCATTTAACCGCTCCCCTGAAACGAGATTTTTCTCTCTCGAGGCCCAAATCTCCTTCCCAGCGTCAGCGCGAGATTCTGCCTTGCAGTCTGGTTTCCAGATCCTGGCCTCGGAGGAAGAGTCAACTACCATCTACTACCAATTTTCGAACGAATCTATCATCATCGACCGCTACAACACCAGTGCTGCTGCGGAGACGACCAGTGGCATTGACGCGTCCCCCGAGTCCGGACGCCTGCGCCTCTTTGACATCGACGACAGCTGCGCTAGCAAAGGCAGCAACGGCGATAAGGACAACGGTCACCACGATCACGGCCACGGTGGCAAGTTCAAGCACAACAAGGGGCCTGCTCTTCACAGCAAAGAAGGCAAGCGACAGGTCGGCGAATCCAACGGTGAGCACATTGAGACTCTGGACCTTACTATTACCGTCGACAACTCTGTTCTCGAGATTTACGCCAATGGACGCTTTGCGCTGTCTACTTATGTTCGGTATGCTTTCATCCTTTTTCCTTCTTTTCTGCTCTTGGGCACGAAATCTAACTCGAGATTAGTCCTTGGTATGCCAACTCGACCGATATTCGCTTCTTCCACAACGGCGAAGGCGAGGTCTCGTTCAGCAACATTCGCGTTGCGGACGGCTTGTACGATGCGTACCCGGAGAGAGCGCGGTAAACGAATTCTTGGACGTTTGGTATCGTCTCACGTCTATTTTTCGTACTGTTCTCCCGCGTCTTGCGAGAGAAGCGAGAGCTGAGCATTACCGTTTTGTGTCTGGGGGCCATTGCGATATGGGGTGGGTAATGACGGTACTCCGTTAACTTAGTTAGATCAATGCCATGTTGAAGTTTATTGAATGAAACGCTCCCTAAAGGTGCATTTTGATCTATTTGCGTACGATTGGACCTGGAACTAGAGTCGCTTGCTGGCAAAAGCCTGCTTCTTCCTTTTCGTTCGCATTTTCCATGGAAGTACCCATTTCCGACATCGATACCGGGTAGCTTGCATAGGAGCGGGACGTCAATCATCTACTAGCGAGAAATGTTGTGTAAAGATGCCGATTCATGACATTGGTGGCGCGTTGATAGCAGAAGCCAACGTCTTGTCTAGACAGTGTTTATCACGATGTCTCCATTACTGTCTAACTCATCTCTCAAAGTAAATTATCCAGAATTCCCCGCGCCTTTTTAATATCCGGCGCCTCGTCTTCCTAATAGGTTAGGGCCTCCAGCGTGAGGTTCAAGTGATCTCTCAGCCCTCTAGGATGAATATTGGGGAGGTTAACATTTCCACTTCGTGTCAAAGCAATAGATATCAGCAACGCTGTAAGCAGAGCCCCAAGATCGAACCAGATGCCGTGATGGCGATGACGAGGACATCGAGCTTGTAAGATCTTCATGCTACTATCCAGACCTGATTGCACGAGTCCCTGTACCATGGTCCATGGCGAAGTCCTCGCTGCTCAGCGGGAAGGCATGGTTGTCTGTGGCTGTTGAAGCGGTACCAGTGGGATGGTAAACAGCATAGAAGAGGAATGGCTGGTAGAGCCATAGACGGATCTCGAGGGATCGGTTGCTCAGTTCCCAGCTGAGCTCCATGGATATTGATTCCTGGGTGTCCAGCATGGAGGATCTCTGTCTAGCATTACCTGGGGTTTGGTCGTTATCCTATCTTATGTTACTGTAATATTGGACAGAAAGCTAATGCGAGAGAAAAATATCTAGAAGTTGGTAGCTTTATCGACAATTGCTCGGTACTCTCGTTGCCTCTGACACTGATCTAGAAAGACCTGATATTTCGCCGCGAGCAGCGCCCTTTCATGCTCATCTTCAGTGGGATAGAATGCCTCCCCAGGTTTGCTCAGTGCGTCGATCACCTCCCACAGATCTACCGTCGTGCCCTCAGAATTTACGTTGGCTGCTTTGACACCCAGCATTGCAGCGCCATGACAAACTGCCGCATGAATGTAGCGTGGAACCACAACAGGAATATTGCATGCCGAAGCAATCATATTGACCAGGATGTCGTTCTGGCATTGCGATCCGGACATGAATATCAAACTAATCTTGTGGCCGGACTTGTTCATCGTCTCCACAATCTGTCTGGTTTGCAGTGCGATAAATTCCAGTGTGCCGTAATAATGGATAGCGAGGCCTTCAATCGATATATCGCTAGACAGACCGACAAGGGAGCCTGTCATATTTGAGTCTGCTAATGGGGACCGGTTCCCGAACAGGTCTCCGTAGAAGAAGAAATACCGTGCTAGGTCTGCCACACAACGCAACCCCCGCTCAGCAGCCAATCCAGTGAGTTGGGAGTTGAGGAATTCGAATATGTTCATCTCGCGGCTCTCGGCACTCGCAAGGGCCTGTCGGGACGCCGGGTGGGTTTCAAGTACATGCTTGAGCAGCTGCCCAGTGGCAGACTGACCTCCTTCAGCCATCCAGCAGCCGGGGAAGATTGTGTCCCGGTACGGGCCCCAAACGCCAGGAACAAAGATTGGATCGGAAGACATTGCGATATGGCAGGATGATGTTCCGGCCACCACAGCCAAGCGTGTGAATGCCTCAATCCTACCATCAAGTGTCGGGTCCGAGCTTGTATTGCTTGCCCACTCCGGCTTCATATCCACTTTGGCGCCAACGGTACCTATCCACCCGGCGTATGCATCGATCACGCCGCCCCCAATTGCAACTCCAGGCCGCAAACCGAGCTCGCTAGCAGCCTTCTCGCACAGAGTGCCGCAGAACTCGCCTGCATTCAAGTGTCGACCGTTCTAGTCATGATAACATAAGCAATCCATCCATGTTGTATGCACGCGCATCAATTACCTCACCGTTCACACCTCCAATCCGATCGAAACCGCAGTCAGCCAGATCAGCCAGGCCTATCTCCTGCAAAAAGTCCTCCTGCCAGCCCTTGACACTCCCCTCAACGCCCTTTGGTAGATACCCCTGCTTGCAGACCATGCTAGAAAAGCTCCTAGTATTCCCACCTGTAGCAAGGTGGGTCAGGGCATCGACAAGGTCATAAAACTGACATTTCGCAAAGGTCTCCTCGGGCATGTTGTTCTTCAGCCAGAGAATCTTCGGAATCTCCATCTCAAGGGACATCTTTCCGCCCACGTATCGCAGAACTTTGTGGCCCGTGGCATTTATGACATGTGTTTCCTTGACCGCACGGTGATCTAGCCACAGAATGACATTCCGATCGGTATTGAAACCTGGGCCGGTGACTGAGACGGATTCATCAGTCTCTGTTGAAAAAGCGCATAGCGAGCACGTTGCGTCGAAGCCAATGCCGTGGACGAGGGATGGTGAGATGTCGTGTTCATCGAGGGCTCGACGCACAACTGTGCAAATGCATCGCCAGATATCAGAGGTCGATTGCTCCTAGATTCGCAGTAGGTTTTAGCATAGAATTAAAAAGAAGGGTAGGAGCACATAGTAGAGACGTACATAATAGCCCTGCTCTGGTAGCCAAAGGCCAATGTTTTCGGAGGCTAAGCCGACAATGTCGCCATTGTGGTCAATAACACAGGCACGCGCGCTTCCTGTTCCCACGTCAATGCCAATATAATATCCTGTCTTAGTCTGCATGGTGGTAAAGAGGCTAGATGGATGGTTACTTTGACAAATTGACATATATTCATGAAAAGCCAGGGCTTGTGAGACACTCAAACTATATATGTAGTCTGCAGAACCGAGAGCTTAAAATGGTTCGGGCATCTCGCCTTTTTACCCGAGTTGACTCCACAGGCTCACGGCATTTTGCCCAACATTAGTACTATACACCGTCAAAGCTTGTGGCGCATGCTAAGAGGCAGCTGAGTAGTACAATCTTTCCGGCCGGAAGAAGTTGTAGGCTACATAAACATAGTGTACAAAGGCCACACTTCCGAAAGAAGTACGTTCCAACTATACATATCCAACATTAAACAAATGTACTTCCCGATAAATGCCTAGTCTTCAACCCCGGCAATCAAAAATTTGATGCCATTTCCATCTTTCACCTGCTGAAAAGCCCGCTGAGTGTCTTCAAACTTCACAATATCAGTGACCAAATCCAGGGAATTGACCTTCTGCGAAGCGACAAGCTCAATCGCAAGCTTATAATCACCGGTAGCATACCGGAAACCTCCCTTCACGTTCAATTACTTGGTGCAAACGGCTGTGATGGGGGAAGCGACTTCATCGTGGCCCATGCCTCCTTGGACGTATGTGCCGCCGGGTCGAAGAACGTGGATACCAGTCTTGATGGAAGCCTCTGCCCCCGACGCATCAATCACCACATAAGCCCCATTGCCAAGTTCATTTTCCACACCCAAGCGCGCGGCATTGTTGAAGACCGAGACATCGACCAACGGTAGGAAGTTCGATGTTGTTGTAAACTCTCTGGCAAATTCCAATCTGTTGCGCTGAATGTCTACTGCAACCACCTTTGCAGCCCCGAATGCATTGGAAACCGCACGGCACAACAATCCGACCGGTCCAGCGCCGAAAATCACAACCGATGCACCAGGTGACACATTTGCCTGTCGGACAAGATGCACCGCGACCCCGAGCGGTTCCACAAGCGCACCCTGCTCCAGACTAAGGCTGTCTGGCAGCTTGTAGCAGAGGTCCTCTGGCAGGCGGTAGTATTTCGCTAGGGTGCCGTTATAGGGAGGGGTCGCGGCAAACGCCATTGCAGGACAGAGGTTGTATGTTCCGGCCTTGCACGCATTCCGGAGGACTCGTACCCCAGCACTATCGGTTGCTCGACTTTGAAGCGTCCAATCTCTCCGCGGTTCCAGTAATGTATCTGGGGAGCAAATGGTGTTAGCCAGCGTCAGATTCGTTTAGAAAGAATACCAGGATAGACGAGCTTACATCGCTGCCACAGATTCCTGTGAACTCCACCCTCACCAGAACATCGTCGTCATCACGGATCTGTGGGATCGGGCGATCCTCAAATCTCAGGCTCTGAACTTTTTCAAGGACAAAGAACAGATTCTGTGTAGGTTGTATTAGATGATCGCTCATAGCACGAAAAGAACTTCGATCCACTGACCTGCATTTTTCCGTTCATGGGATGCAACGCTTGTACAGCCTGCCTAGGTACTCGAACGGTACAGAGGGCCTCGTTTAAATACCATTTGAACATGCACCCATCCCTCATGAATTTCAATGCTTCCGTTCAATAACGGAGTTTATGCCGTCTTGTCCGTCCGCGCCCCACAACCCTAGATTGATACGCTCAATCCACATCCCCGTCTAATTTCCGGGTCTCGACCCCTCCACTCCCGCGCGGGATATTCGGCGAAACAGGTCTTCAAACTCTAGGCTTCTCCGGAAGAGCATCCAAAGACATCGATCCAAGGTCTACTATGTGCGCTAAGCCATGGATTAGTTGAGGTTCAGGGAGGCAAAGTGTTCAATCCAGTAGGCCATCGCCAGACCTCCGATATTCTAGGACGATGAATTGATCAGATTTCGGCCAAAGCGACTAACGAGGGTGTTAAGAAAAACGTACCATGACAAACTCAAGAGCCAAAAGCGCTCCTCGAGCGGAGTGGCTGCTGACCTCCGCTGACCAGACCGGAATAACACAGTCGATAGACCCAACTCCAATGCCAGCTGGATGTACGGGATATGTCAGTCTCGTACAAAAAGCTCGAACGGGGTTGGACTCACCAAGAACACGTCCAAAACACATCCACGTGATATCATAAGCCGATGCCTGTAGTGCGGCGCCCAGAATGATCCATAAACAGCCAAAGATAATAGCTTTAATACGTCTGCATTGATCGGCCAAGGATCCTGCCATGAGTGCCCCAATCATTGTGCCCCCATAGTATACGGCAACGATACCACCTTCCGCAGCTGTGTTCCTAGAGCTCCCTAAACTTGGTACGAGGATACGCCCAGTAAGCCATGGCATTGATAGTGTACCTTTGAGAGGGAAGATGCCCATGAGCTTTTGGTAATCAGGATTGAGATTTACCATCGACATCACACCCTGGTCATACCCGTAGAAGCAAATCGCAGTGCCTTATATCAAATTAGTCAGGGGTGAAAGACAGTAGGTACACGGATTCCTCACCAGCAAAGAGGCTGAGTACCCTATACATCGTCGCAGGATTCTTGAACCTTAGCATTATGGATTGACTGTATTAAACCAGCTGACACAGCAAAGCTCCTGGGAGATGTGATGGAGTGAACATGACGGAGAATCATCGTATATATACCGAGACTTTTGCATTCCTCTGCAACATTCTATTGAGGAGTTTCACTTTGGTGTTTTCTAAACTCGATTTCGGGGTGTATATAAAGCGTTATGACCTCGTTATGTTTTTGTCTAATGGTAACACCACGCCTTAGACCAATTTTTAAAGACCTCGGCCTATGTCCAGGAGTTTATCTCGACATTGAACTTTGGTTAGTCGTGGCGTCATGGGGGTCGGACCGAAATTGCGGCGGCTGTCACCCTAAATCCGGGGCGAAAGGGACGGAGATTCTTGACATCACACATTTGGTTGCCACTAAATCCAAAATAAAAATTGGAAATAAGAAATGATTCTCCCTCCCCATCATGACACTTTCCATCCCCCACCGTCCCGTCTACAAATGAACCATCGCCAACCGGATGATATGGACGCCTGGATTCTGGGCAACGGCGTCCAGCCACTTGCAGCCGCCGTGTACTTAATCGAAGAAGTCAAAGTACCGCCGAACCGTGTGCATATTCTCGAAACTATCGGCAAGGCCGGGGAATGTACCGTGAGCGCCGGCGACCCGGTCAATGGCTATGAATATCGGAGTGGAGCAGTGCCTGTATTCAGTGGCGTCTGGGTTGAGGATCTTCTTTGTAAGGTTCCTTCACAGACTCGACCAGGGAAAACGGCTCTCGATGATGTTATGGAGTTTTATGAAGTGGGATACTCTGACAGGACGCTATGTACACGGTTTCTGGCGGAAAAGTCGGGTGGAATCTCTTGCATCAACACAAAACAGGTCAGCCTGGGTTTCCGGGATCGTAGGGATTTGTCCAGACTGTCTGGGAAGACAGAACAATCGCTGGAACGATCGCACATTCTTGATCACTTCCATGAGAGCTTCTTCAAGAGTGATTACTGGTTGATGATTGCTACTACGTTAGTACTTTACCCTTGCAGGCCCAATTCTTTTCTTTGAACCGACATGACCACATCTCCATGCAACATAGGTTCGGTTTCCAGCCATGGCACAGCGCAGCCGAATTCCACCGCTACGTCCGCCGCTTCATGCACAATAGCCACGGGCTGAACGACTTCCATCCTCTATACGAAGGCCGCGTCAACCTCCACCAGGCCGTCACAGCACCGGTGGCAGCCTTCCTCGAGTCTCGTGGCGTCGACTTCCAATGCCACACGACAGTCACCGACATCATCATGGACCCCCCCGACAAATGCCACCGAGTATCAGCCATCGAATGGACGAAAGCAAACGAACCCAAAAAGGGAACAATCACCCTCGCCCAGAACGACATTGCCATCGTATCCCTGGGCAACATCATGTCCGGCGCCGCGACAGGATCCAACACAACGCCCCCGGATCTAGAGCTCATTGAGATCCACAAGGGCCTGGACGAAAACTGGCTGCTATGGCTGGAGTTGTGCACGAAACATCCCAAATTCGGAAACGCGTATAACTTTTGCACACGCATGCTGCAGTCCCGTCTCGAGGTGTTCACCGTCACCTTAAAATCCCCGGAATTCTTGAACCGGTTCATCGCGCTCACGGGCGACCAACCGGGGTCTGTGCCATATGTGACGATAAAAGACAGCACTTGGCTGATGAGCATGAGTGTGCCGCGGCAACCGTTCTTCGCAGACCAACCGCCCGACGTGCACGTTTTCTGGGGCTATGCGATGCACCCAGAGAAAACAGGCGATTTCATCAAGAAGCCCATGATCAATTGCTCGGGGGAGGAAATCATGATGGAGTTACTGCATCATTTAAAATTCCCAGTGGAGACGATAACCTGCGATGCAATCACGATTCCATGCATTTTGCCGCGGATGACATCTATGCTGCTGCCACGGGTGGCTTCTGATCGACCGCAGATTATACCCGAGGCTATGACGAATTTGGGATTGATAGGGCAGTTTGTGGAGATTCCGAATGAGGTGGTGTGCTCGATGGATTATGGTGTGAAGGGGGCGCAGATGGCCGTGGGTCAGTTAATGGGGCTACAGGAGCAGGAGCCGGTTAAGGCCAGCAAACCAAAGAAAAGCTCCGTGTTTGGTTTGTCTCGATTCTTATAGTCGCAAGTAAGGTGTTGTCTTGATAATCGTGGCAACAGAGCCTGGAGAATAGTGGAAGAAAAAGCATGGTATTACAAACGATGTAAAGACCATCTCTTATATACCAGTTTAGATTAGCTCAGTTATTCAATATGTATATAGATTATACAAGGAGAACAAGCAAGTCAAATCACAATTGGACCTGGGAAGAATCAATAAAGCTCCCATCCTGCATATCACGAGCACGGGCGAAACGACATCTTGAAAGCTCTCTTTCACCATGGGCGCCCCCAAACTCCCTTCTACCGGACCGAACACACTCAAGACTCTCTCTGGGATATACTGAGAGCTTCGTAGACATTGACATCTCGATATCAAAATCGAACTTTTCAACGACTGTATTTCCGACGCTCTCCGTCTTCCGAGGCCTCAAACGTCTTCTGTCCTCCGAATCGATACTTGTCTCGCAGGTAGATCTTGTAACCATGAATTGTAGTATTTTCTGACTTGACTGGTTGTATGCACAGACACCTCGATGCTGTCATGAAAAAAGATGTGTAAGAGGGCATTTTAATCTATTATGGCCATCTGAGTAATTTATTCACAATTTAGCTCTATAAATACATGTAAATCCAAAACACCTTGAGAAAATTCTCAGCTAACAATTTAAAGAACAACGGTAAGACAATACGAACAATCTAGACCTAATTAATAAACCCAATCTCCCTCCAAATATGAATATACTTTCTGGCAACCTCCTCACTAACAGCCCCAACAGCAGAAAGAGTCTTCGAATGCTGCAAAGTATGCCCTACATCTAAGACTAGCCCACCACATGACATGCGCAGATAATTGCTATCCAAAAAATCCAACAGCATCGAGGCTGGATTGTCTCGCTGCGGTGCGGCGCGTACCCGCTCCACCCAGTCATTGAAAGGGATGAGATTGGGGATGTTGAGAGCGTCTGCCAGTGTGGCATTCATCTCCTTCCAGGGCTGACCGACCGGGTTTTCGATGTGGTAGATGGGGTACGGATCGTTGTTGGATAGGACGAGATCGGACAAAGTGCCCGCCATGTCGTTAACGGGAGTCCAGTAGACCGTTCCGTCGACATCTGGTAGGGCATTTAGAGTCTGGGATGATTTAATCAGAAAGCAGAAATGTTCCATTGGATTCCAGTATCCGCTAGTCTTGGACCCGGCAATTTGTCCCAGGCGGACGACCATGGTGCGGAATCGATGCGGATGCTGATGAAGAGTCTCGTCGAGCATTCGCTCGCATCCCCATTTCGCCTCGCTATATCCGTTACACAGGACTGCGTCGATGCCAACTCTATCTTCTGGGACGAGCGTTTTGATCTCCCCATTACCCAGTCCATAGTGCCCAACGACACCGATGGACGAGACCATCTGGAAACTGAAGCGGAACGTATTCGGACGACGGGCAACAACGTGGGAAGCGAAATCAATGAGATTGCGCATCACCTGGAACTGCGACTCGAAGCCGGCCAGAGCGCGCTTTGCACTCATGGGCCATGCGTTGTGGATGAGATGCGTGACTGAGCTGACAAGGCTGTCATATTCGCTGCTGGAGAGTCCGAACATCGGCTTCGTGCTATCTGTCTGTAAGACTAGCAGTTTTGGTTTGAGATGTTCGGGGAACCGAATTCCTTTTCCTCTCATTGCTTTGATTTGTCGCTCAAATGGATCCGCTCTGTTCTCGCGATTGAGACAGATGATTGTCTTGATGTCTGGGAGTTGAGCCATGTGGTAGACCAAGTGGCCTCCCAGGCTTCCGGATGCTCCGGTGACAAGAATGACTTTTTCAGCGTCGTCTGGGGCAGGCAATGAAGGGGAAGCAGTGGGGAGAGAAAAGCAAGCCATATATTTTTCAAGATAAGCATCGACTGCTTCTTTTCGTGCGGCCAGATCTCCTTTCATGGCCTCGAATAATGCAGTCTCCTGAACTGGAATAGGCACTGGCTCTGAGAGCTCTGGGTCTGGAGGGGGAGAATTATCATTCGTCTCTCCAAGCAGCAAGAGCTTGAGGTCAGCCATGGTTGGACAATCCAGAAAAAGCGACTCGTGTTGAATATCCATCTCAAGCTCGTCTCTAAACCGACTAACAATAACAAGAGACAATAGGGAATCGAGCCCGGAATCAGCGAAATTCATATCATCCGTGAGATCCTCTACTGCGACTCCACTCTCCTCACTAATGATCTGAAGGACTCGCTCAAAGACGTCTTTACTGATACCAGGAAGAGGATATTCCTCTGTGGCTGGCGTGGCAACGCCTGACGCATCTGACTCGGTGTCGCTGGTATCTCTCGGGGTGGAGCCTTCAGATCCCTGCAGGAAGACTCTGAGATCGCTGACGGTGGGATACTCAAAGAACAGGGCGCTAAAGTCGAGTTCGGTGTCCAGTTCCTCTCCGAATCGGGCGGAGATGGTCAGCCCGAGGAGAGAGTCGATGCCCACATCAGCGAATACGGTTTTGTCGGTCAAGTCAGATACAGCGAGGCCACTTTCCTCTGATATGATGGCCAATGCCTTTGTTAGCTTGGATGGTTCCGATGCTTTGGACACGGCGGAAGCAAGTTGACCTCGAGGCTTGGTCACTGTAGGTGCAGCAGCTGGCAAGGCGGGTTGCTTGTTGGATTTTTTTCCACTTTCGATAGAAAGAATGAACTTTAACACTCGTCGTGGAACACCTTGGATCTGTAGCACACTGCGTTAGCAGTTGTCTCATTATATCAAGAGAGAGGGAAAAAAAAAAAAAAAAAAAAAAAGGACGCACCGCAATCTGTCCAAAGTAAGCGACAACAGTATCGCCATCACAGATGACCACATCTCCATGCCAGAGTTTATCATCACCCTCTTCCATCCGAGTATAAGTCATGTAGACCTTGTCCAAATCCAAAGGCTCGAAAATTTGCAACGACCCCCATCCATGATTCATAAATACATCCTTATCCAAATCCGTATAATCATTGCAATTCATGGTAAAGCCGCACGACTGGGTGAGGGAGTCAATGACAGCCGGATGGGTATGGAAATTTCCATCTCTCTTAACTGTGCCGAAACTGAGTCGACTTGATGCTTCCAGCGTGTTGCTGTTGAGCACGATCTCGTCAATGGCGCGGTAGTCGTCGTGGAACCTGGCCAGGGGTCGAATGGCGCGGTAGACCATTGGTCGGTTGAAGCGTGCTGTTCTTCCCTCGGCAATGCCATCTCGAAGAGCTTGCATTTTCTGCTTGAATGTTGACATGTTGTTCTGGAGGACCTGTTGAAGACTTCTGTCCGTGAATCGGACCACGCATCGGGCGTGTTCTTGGGGTCTCTCCTTGCTCTGTATTCGTTAGTGACAATTCGTGAGAGCAGAAATGATGCTGTGTACATACATCAAAAGACATGAACTTGATAGCGGCAGATCGGGAAGACCAATCCACATCGACATGAGCTTGCAGAAGCTGTTGAGTGGAATCAGCCTTCAGAATCAATGCTTTGGAGATAGACATGTCCGAAACATCGACGAAATCATCTTCCTGAGTGGGTTGATAGTGGCGAATAAGATAAGTGCCCAGAGAAAGAGCCATATCTGCATAAACGGATGGAGTACAGAGTGGAATTCCATCCACTTCGTGCCCTTGCACAAGTGGGCTCAGGTCCTCCCGAGAAATATCCGCCTGGACAATCAAATGAGCTGATTGAGAATTGCTAGTCTCCTCAACAACTTTATGAATTGTAGTAGTCTCCAGTCCCAACGCGTTGGAGATGACCAGGGGAGGATCGCCTTTGCGCAGCGACCAGTCATTCACATACGGAATCCAGTATTCCTTTAAATCCCAGCTATACGACGGCAGGGGGAGAACAGTATGCGATGCTTGAAAGTCGCGCTGATATTCCGCCCAGGAGATATTGGCGCCCATAGTATAGAGGGATTTCAATGTAGTGCTGAGAACATTCCAGATTGGCCGGCCGCGATGTGATGAGGCCATACATGTGATCTGCGACCCGAGAGTAGGCCTCACCATACCGGAGATGGCCGGGTGAGGGCCAAGTTCGAGGATGGAGGTTGTGTCCGTGATGATTTGTTGGCTACGCGCTGTCAAAAGAGCGTTGAGAATGTTGACTGGTTGACGAGAATGACTGGCGAGATAGTCTGGACCGAAGACGGCATTTGTAGGATCAATGACACTTCCATCCAAAGGACACAATATGGGGAATTTGGGTTTGGAGAAGGTGACTCCACCAGCGACTGTTTTGAAGTCAGACAGCATGGGCTCCAGCTGTGAAGAATGGAATGCGTAGGGGACTTTAAGAAGAGTTGATTTCATGCCGGAGTCAGCAAGTAATCCTGCGAAGATAGAAACATCCTCGTTGGAACCGGCCAGAACTGTCTCTACTGGCGAGTTGATGCAGGCAATCTCGTACTGGTGGTCTTTGAGAACGACGGCAATATCATCAACAGACCCCTTGATGACAAGCATTGAATGAGTATCCCGAGTACACTTTTCCTGTAGCAATTCCGCCCTCTTTCCTACCAGGTACAATGTATCTGCATCGGAAAGAACCCCAGCGACATTGAGAGCACTGTATTCACCCAGACTGTGTCCTACGACAGCAGTAGGAAATATATTCCATGATGCCCACATTTTGCTCAATGCAATCTGCATACAGACATTGGCGAGCTGAACAGCCAACGGAGCAAATGCACTGATATCCTGTTCGTTCGATTGAATGACAGGCAACATGGAAGGATAACCCAGGCTGCGAACAATCTGATCCAACCGACACATTTCACTGCGAAAGACAGAGAAGGATCCAAACAGCTGTTGTCCCATTCCGGGATATTGAGCGCCCTGGCCAGTAAATGCGAAGACCATCTTGGGTGCGTTTATGGGTCGTGTTATTCCGGAATTGTCTACAAGTGCCTTTTCAATTTGCGCAGTGATATCGTCCATAGTGGAACCGGTCAACATGACACGGTGAGGATGATGTATACGACGGGCGGTTGTGGTGTACGAAAGCTGCCCCAGGGGGGCTGTTGGGTTCTGCTTGAGGAATTCGAGTAACGATCGGAGATTGCCTTGGAGAGACACGCCATTTTTGGCTGATACAGCCACAAGATGAACGCTTCGGGGGTCGGTTTCACTGGACTCCAGGGGAAGTGGAGCGTCTTCAAGTAGTAAAGCCGAGTTTCCACCGGCAGCACTGAAGTTGTTCACAAACACGCGTCTAGACTCGGATGAATCAGAGCTGCGATTCCAGGCAATTGGCTTGAGAGCGATGTGAACATTGCGGTCCGCGAGATCGGTTGGAAACTTGCGGTTAATCTTGGTCTTGATTCCACAGTGTGGGACGATAATGTTCTTCTGCATCATCAGGAGCACTTTGATGAGACTGGATACTCCAGATGCAGCTTCTCCATGACCGATGTTCGCTTTGGCAGATCCGATATACAGATTCTCATCGGCCGTTCGTTTCTTCTTTACCTGGGACAATGGTGGTGCGAATGTATCCAGAACACTGGACATTTCACCCGCATCGCCAGCTTGAGTTCCACTGCACCCGTTAGCGTACAGTCAGGAACCGGATATAGGTTGAATACGTACGTCCCATGCATCTCCACATAACTAACAGTGTAGGGATCAACTCCGCTCTGGTTAAGAATCTTGCCAAAGATAGCACGCTGCGCCCCAACATGCGGCCGAGTAATTGACTCTGACTCCGCCGAGTGGTTTGTATACGCACCCAGAATGACACCGAGAATAGGATCACGATCAACCACCGCATCATCCAGACGTTTGAGAACCACAGTCCCGACACCCTCTCCACGACAGTATCCATCGGCACCATCATCAAACGTTTTGCAATTGCCAGTCCGCGAGAGAAAGTGACCTCTATCCAACCCGGCAGTGAAATCCGGGTTAGTGAGAACATTTGTACCACCGGCAATGGCTGTGTCAATATCACCTCTCCAGAGTGAGTTACACGCTAGATGAATACCGGCCAGACTAGACGAGCAGGCCGTATCAATTGCGTAGCTGGGCCCGCTGAACTTGAAGTAGTAGTTAATACGCCCAGGGATAAAGGCTCGATTTCCTCCAGGGATGAAATAAGTGTCAATGTTTTGGGAGCTGTTCGTCTCCATCCAGTCGTTGCTTGTCACGCCATAAAACACACCCACGCGATCACGTCTGGTAGAGGGAGTCGCGTCGGGGACGATACCGGCCTGTTCAATGGCTTCATACGCAGTCATCAGCGCGATTCGTTGTGCGGGGTCGATCTGAGGTGCCTCTCGTGGGGAGATGTTGAAGAAACGGGCATCGAAGGCAGCCGGATCGTCTAACCAACAACCAAAGGGAGTTGCGCTGGTGTTTTTCCTGGATCCAGTTGGATCGACATGCGTTTTGGCATTCCAATGCAGATCGGAAACGGGTTTGTGCATGTCCAAGCCTTGGTATAGAACATCCCAGAACGCCTCGTTATCTTTAGCACCTGGGAATCGCCCTGACATACTAACAATGGCCAATTTGGGCTTCTTGGGGCTAGCGGATGAGAGTTCCTTTGGAAGGGTGGGTTGTTTGTGAATGGAATCAATCAGAGATGCAAGTGGCGTCTGCTTGAGGACGGTGTAAATGAGCTGATCTGCTGTAGTTCCAATCGGGACAACTGTAAATGAATCTGGAGTCATGCCTTGAATACAACTCTGCAGATTATCCAATATATCATTCCACTTAATTGGCTGCAGTAGAACCTGCTCGACTGCATCTGCCATGAGAGACGCAAACTGAAGTCCAACAGTGGATTCGGTTCTCGACAGGAGAGGGGTCTGCCCAGTACCCCTGGTAGAGGCCAAATTGCGAGTAATATCTCCAACATCAAACGCAGAGTATAGGTGAGAGGCATGGTATGGGCCGTAGATTGGGATACTCTTGCATCGGAGATGTTCGATGTCGAGGAGCTGCTCGAGGGATTTCGGAGGCCCACTGACGGTGATGCCGTTCGGTGCATAGGCACTGATATAGGGTCTGTTAGTGACCGGAAGGATCTGTAATTGTCAGCCAAGTATTTGAGATATGCAGAATGGGAGATATACAGTCTGTTGACAGAACCTGTGAACCGCTTCAGCAGACAATGAGCCAGGAACGATGATTGACCAGCTCTGGTCGGAGTCGGCGGGAGCAATTCGCTTTGCAGCGTCTGTAACCAGCATTCCAGTTCTAAAGGAAATGGTGACTGCATCAACAGCCATGGGAACGAGATCGAGTACGTTTCGACTACAACTGACAGCCGCTGCAGCCAGGGCACCTGTACACAAACCCAGAACCCGCGAGTCCGCGTGTGAATAAAAAGTATCCGCTTGGCTAGAATCGATCAGTTAAATCGCCATAATAGAGACATGGAGACTACGTTACCTGATAAAAGATCCTAGTTGATAAAGACAAACAATCGCCATATCAAGCGGTATACATCTCTTTCCGGATGGGTCCCACAAAACCAGATCTTCAAGACAGGTAAATCTTGGAAGATCATCCCGAATGTAAGATGCAAGAGTAAAGATCTCCGTGCGAACTGCATTGTATGCTTTTACCAGAAAGTCCTCGAGTATGGGGTTGTCCCTGTGCCGAAGCAAGTCCTTCAGATGGGGTTGGATGTCGAATGTCTGGTCTCCGAAGAGGTACAATTTCAGTTGGTTTGACATGGTGATTGTTGAACTGATTTTCTTCTGTTCTGCATCTCTTCATTCTTCATCTTTCTTATATAGTATGCTCATCTTCACCATATCTAATATACAGACAAGGCCTCCTGATGGCTTCCGTATTATAAATCTCGGATTTCGGACATGCTGAGGGTCATCCCGACTTGTTATGCTTACCCGGACAAGAATATTTGTTTCCCGAGCCTATAGAGGAGTCGGAAATGCCTTAGATATCTCAATCATTGGACAAGGAACCGTGCAAAAAGCCAATTGGAGTATAATAGCTTACGTTATAGGGGCATATGAAGCATGCCCTCATGGTTGTATCTCATAGAACAGTGAGTGACTGTATTCATCCTGGGCAAACGATATCGGGAATCCTACGGGGTTTCAACATTGACTTCGGAACAAGTCTAGATTCCCGTTGGGACTCCGGGCTCGGACTTGCCGAAGAGTAATCACATCTAACACCCGCCCATCCATGATGCAGAAGACGCTCTGCCTCGGTGGTTTGCGAGACGTACAATAAGTACCTGTTGAAGGACGCGAGGACATCAAGACGGGTTATTGTCCTGCCGTCTTTTATTCCACACCCATTGCTGGCATCTGTTCAGTCGATCTTGTTCAATCCAAGTATCACCCTCCTGCCGGCCGCGGCCTAAATGCCGATCATCCGGGCAAAATATAAGAAAACACTGCCTCGTGCACCCAACAAGAAAGAAAAGAAGACCAACATTAACTAACAGTGTGGCCTATGTAGTACTTATGTTCAGTCGAATTGTCTTCGATAGCTGCATTACCCCACCTGCAAGAAAACACGATCCACGGGATTTGGGGATCTAAGACCTAACTCCGTCCATCCATATCTCAGCGATGTGTCATATACGAGCAGGTATGCACCAAGACGCGGCTGATTGCGTGAGACTTAAAAAAGCCAAGCATGGCACTAGGCACTAAGCTGCGGGAAGATTACTCAGGCCACATCTTGCGTTGCATGAACACGGATGGCTCGTAATTTGAACTCTCCGATGCGAAACCCTTAATCCCAAGGCTTACAAGAGGGAATTGTTAGTAACTACACTCGCCCAATCAAGAATGGTATACACCCGTGTCTCATCCTTTGAGAGTGGCTTCGTATTTTTATGCATGTAATCAGATTCGATTAGTGGCGATATTTACCATTTCGTTCTACCAGCCTTTAGTGCTTATTATAGACACTGAATTCGGCTTGAGTGTTATTTCATATACCTATACTATCCTTAGTGATAGAAACAGAGAAAAGAAGTAACAATTTGATGAACCATGGCCAGCGATCAACTAAAACCACGACAAGCGAAACTGCGCTCCAGCTGTGATGCATGCGGTGCAGCCAAGTTAAAATGTGACCGGGGCCAGCCTGAATGTGTTCGCTGCGTTTCATACGGTATTTCCTGTCACTATGGACTGTCTCGGAAGATGGGAAAACCGCGGCGAGATCGAATACCTCCGAGCTCGACAACACAGACATCAACATTGACATCGACCGAGGTTGATCTCACGGAAATCATGCCCTTCCCAGGCGTTCCTGCATCTTGGGATGCGCTAGGCGATGGGGAAGGCAATAATGATAACTTAATGGGTAGCCTGGATGCATTCGACCAACTATGTCCTTCGCTATTATCGTCGAGTTCGTCTCATGACCTACCTCCCCACGGTCTGCAGTTTGGGTCTATATCGACGCCTGTATACTCACCTCATTTGACGAGTTACTGCATGCCACCTGCAGTGTCGAACGACCAGCAATGCCAGAATAACAAGGATCTACCAATTCACAACTGTGCCCGAGATGTAAACACCACCCTAGAAAATTTGCCTATGCTGAGCCTCCCCCAAACCCATCATTCTCGGTCCGGGTCACCATCAATCTCGTCTACAGATATCGCCATTGGAGCACCATTCGACCACGTCTTACGTGCGAACCGCCAGGTTATCGAGCGACTCTCCCATTTGCTGACGTGCCCCTGTGCGGCAGGCCCGAGTCTAGCATTACTCTATGCATCTGGAATCTCCCGCATCCTAACCTGGTACCAACAAGCAGCCTGCACACAAGGTGGTTCTGTAGCGGGTTTATCATCTACGTCTGATTGTGGGGGTATTACACCGGGGTCAACACCATCAACGAGTGAATTTCCATTTGCGCCGACTACAATGGCGGTTGGAACGTTCAACGTGGATGATTTACGAGTACAAAGTGCGTTGAGGATGCAGTTGTTACTAGGGGAGATGAGAAGAGCAGGCGGGTTAATTGAGCTGTTTATCAACTCGCATACTGACAGCGGGCGGCAATGCCAGGATGAGTTCATCGCGGTAGATAGGCTGTATCAAAGTCTAGATTCGTGGCTAAGGAATGAACATTCCCGAATAGCCAGTATGATGAGGGGAAGATTGAGGGAGTTAAACATGCTAGACTAAACTGACTGTAATGATAGCATGACAAGAATAGATATGAGACTCAATCATTGAACCATTCCATTAACATCCACTGGTACCCCCCGTAATTCATACCCCTCCTGTCTTGCAATCTGCCATTGTTTCTTAATTACTTCCAACTTCTCCGGACTCCATGGAATGAATCTAGCAACAAAAGGCTTGGGAATGGTAAACCCAGCATCCAGATAAGCATCCTCGCCTAGATCCATCTCAACCTCCACACCATCCACGAGGGGTGGTCGAATCTCAAACGCCCACATAATTCCAGCGAGAGCAATGTCAAGAGAGTTCTCCGCCAGTCGTGCACCAGGACACGTGCGCCGTCCTGTGCTGAAGGTGAAGTGATCGCGTTTGTACGGATCGCTTATAGCTGCATAATCAGAGCTATACAAAGGATGGTCGAGATATCGTTCCGGCATGAACTCGAACGGATTCTCAAATCGCTTGGGATCGTAGTGCAGGAATGCCGTGTTGGCCAGCAAGACAGTTCCTTTGGGAATAATATAGCCTTTGTAAGAGACATCTTGCTCTGCGTAGTGTCTAACCCCCGGGGCGAGGATGGGATTTATGCGAAGCATTTCCTTCACGCAGGCTCGGATGTAGGGGAGATTACGCATATCGTCGAATGTAGGCAGACGAGTCGGTCCAACAACCTTTATCAACTCTCGTTGGGCTTCTTTCTGAACCCGCGGATTCGCAGCGAGATAAAGCATGAGGCTATTCAAGGTTGCTGCTGTAGTTTCAAATCCTGCCTCGACCAGTCCTCCTGTCACCCACGCCAGATGCTCCTCGGTTAACCCCTGAGCATACCACGACTCCTTTGTCTCGACGATCTGGCGTGCGTAGCAGTGAGGTGCTTTGCCAGACGCTACCTGATTCTCGACTCGTCGCCAGAGTCCCATTTTAATATCCAAGACCTCCTTGGCTGCTGCTTTGGCTTTTTGGTGGCCGGGTTGAAGCCATTTCGGTAACCGAGCCAGCAGCGGCACTTCGTCAACGAGAAATGCACCAGGGCGTGATGTTCGTCTGAGAATCGCTTGACTCCGAACAGCATTCTGCATATCCGGATGATCGAGGGTCTTGACGCGCGTACCAAACGTATTGGTCATGATGATGCTAAACGCATACCGACGCATATGCTGATAGAAGCCCCTATCGTCCATTGCCAGATCAAAAAGGAGCTGTCTCATCTCGAATTCCTGACACGGCAGAAAAGTAGTTGTCATTTGGACGGTGGTCATTTGTCTTACGACGGATCGTAACGCCCGCCAGTGAGGCCCATACGGCATGGTGGGCATGCGATTCCCGCCCGTGACAATATCATGCCCCATCGGCGAGGGTGCCTTGGAGGAGGTGATGAGGGATTGTTTCTCGAGAATGTCACGGATAGCCTCGGGGCTGTTGATTACGACCCAGTTGTACCAGCCGACGCGCATTTTGAAGATCTCGCCATATTGAATTGCCCATTTGCGGAAGGCAGTGGGAGCTTTGGGGGGCAGTTGATAGCCAATGCCAATTATGGGGTAACCTTTAGGGCCTGGGATTGAGTCTAGTCTGCGATCACGACGGAGCCATCGGAGGAGCGTCAGAAGGGCAGAGAAGATGAATAGAGTGAGGACTCTGTGGTTTTGGTATATGCTGAGTATGTCCATTTCGAATGTTTCGATTAGGATGTTTAGGATAGTGATACTTCGATTGCTTGATTACATTCATTATATGTCATCCCCTTACTGATGATGCCCGACAATTATCGCGAGTAGTTTATTCCCCGACTACATACCCCGGATTCGGTCTCCGAACCATCTCACTTGCAGGCGTCGGATAATAATGTATAGGGTATATAGACACCAGAATCGTAAGATCAAGCAGGTGAATCAAATCAACCAATCAGAAAAATGGCTTCCGTTGACCCCCAAATCCAAACCACTTACGCCACCACCGACTGGGACCATTACCGTCAAGGCCGTCCTTCCTATCCCGCATCTCTCACCGAGATCATCTATAGCTACCGTCGTCGTCACCCCAAAGCAGGATGGGTCCGACTCGTCGACGTTGGCGCCGGATCAGGCGTTGCTGCAACAAACTTCATGACCGACTTTCAAACCATCCATAATTCCGATCCCAGTCCCTGGAACGAAGAACAGGCACGAGCTTTTCTCTCCGAATGGGCCCAACAGCACACCCTCAACCCATTCTTGGAATATTCCCAGTCAAGTGGCGAGAAAGCCTATTTCCAGACAGGTGAGCAAAGTGCCGATTTGGTCATTTGCGCCACGGCAGCCCACTTTATGCATCCGGATGGCTTGGTCGATTCGATTGGCCGGATGCTTCGTCCCGGTGGCACATTGGCCATATTTAGCTACTGGATGCCCAGTTTTCCGGGTCGCTCGGAGCGTTTCCATGATGTTTTTGGTCAAACATTCGACAATCTCGTCTTGAGCAAACTACTTTCCTGCACCGATGACGTGGGTCGAGCCAAGTTGGCCAAAGTGGTTGAACGTCGCATGACAGGAAAGGGCGTATTAGATTCCGTGCCACTGCCTGAGGACATTTTCAAGGATCCTCTGCGAGTCTATATCAACACAGATGATGCCGAGGTTCCATACGGTTCATTCTTTGCCAAGGTCTCACCCGGTGGTGTTTCCCGCGTCAAGGACGGCGAACATCTCGTGCATTATCACACGGGCACTGATAAAGAGGCCGAATGATGGGCTTTTCAGGCTGACAAGAAGTGTATTTCGGTTTTCTTTGATACCATTCGTCCCGCGAATAAGGAAATGTCTCAGAAGGAGGCAAAGACGGCGTACGCTGAATGGGAAAGGGTGTTTGATGAGGAATGCCCTGATGGAACGGTTCGTGTGCTGTGGCCCGCTTATCTGGTTTTAGCTACGAGGAAGTAGATTAAATGGTTAGCTGTTGTGTATTAACCTGATATGATCCATGTCTATATGTAACCATCCTTCTACTATTTATGGCGTGTTTGCTTTGAAATGATGATTCAAATCTCTTAAGGGTGATGTTGTATCTACACGAATGCTATACTCTTGAATTTACGCTTTCAAATGTCTCGTCTCACATCAATGCCCGTAAAGACATGAAGGTAAATCAAGAAGTCTTTAAATCAGGCCGATTATCCCAAGCTCCCTCCAAACCCCCATAAAACACCCATCGCTTCATATTATCCACCACCATTTTCCCTCCCCGCCCAATTCTCTGCAACACTGCCTCAGCTATCTGCTCAGCTACCTTTGGCCCATCCGCCTCGAGCGCCCCCTCAATCGAATCCATGGTCATATGAGCAATTGTCAAAATGTCCCTCTTCCGGATTGGGAAATCAACCGGTGGCTCAGGCAGCTGCTCCAAGCTGTAAAATGCCCGGACCAATTTGGCAGCATGCCCTTCATCTCTGTAAACAATGGACCGATGGAAAAGTTTTTCCAGCCATTTTGTGTGTTTCGAGGTATATACTCTCGAATACGGTTAGCATCCAGCTTGGGACTCCCGCAACCGGCATACATGACCGCGCCAACACGGGCAGTAGCTTTCAGCAGCCTACTCTTTTCCAGATCAGATATCCAGTCCTGAGCCAATATGGCTGGATAGAAAACACACAGCGTGGCACAGTGCAGAAGCACAAAATCGATGGATTCACGCTTTTCCCGTCGTTGCGCCGCACCCACCATATTATTATTATTATTATTATTATTCATACACGCATCTGTCAGCCCTATAGGCCGAGTGGCGGCAGGTCCTGCGGGGCGGCCGGGTAAGCCGCCGTAGTGGTAATTGCTATGTACATCATTGTCTTTCTACATACATCCCGATAATGTTATTCCGCGTGTTGTATGTCCTGTGCTACTGTTTTTGTACTGCTGTTCCCATGGCCATGAATGTCCATGGGCCTGTTGGATACTATCTCGTTTCCTTCCCTACTTCTGCAAGCGTGTAACCTTGGTTGAACTATGCTGCCAGTTGCTTCATGTCTGTTGTTGTGACTCGGTATGTGGTTGGTAGAGCCTGGAACTGGCTTAGAAGACCTGTCTCAAGCATGAATTGTACCGCCTTTGGTACCAGGTCTGGCTGAGTTAGGTAAGCTCGGTAATCCAGCTCCCGCCTTGACCCCTGTGTAAGATGGCATGTCCATGGTCCTGCCTGGTTGGTACAGTGGAGGAGAACATGGCGTATGTCTTGAAGGCCGCGTCTGCAGGCGCATTCAGTTGATTCCATAGCTTTGAAGGTACCAAGATAACCAGCCAGCGCAATCTTTCCAGTTTGCATTTGAATGAGAACTGATGTAGCGGCTCTCTGAAGGCCTTGGTATAGTTGCATTGGTGCTTTTGAAGGCTCTTTCCATAAGCGACGGAGAGAGCCCCCATGGGGGGTGGAAGCAGCCCATTCAGTCTTTCATGCACTGGTTGCTTCTATGCGGAGGCTTCTTTGAGTGCTGGCCATGAGAGTGGGGTCTTCCGCGCCATTGGGTGCTGGGGAATTAGCAGCTTCTTTTGCAAGAGCATCAGCACACTCATTGCTGTAGACGCCTTCATGACCTGGGAGCCAATACAGTCATATATCCCAGCCACATTCCTGTAGTTGAGATGCAGTGTGTGCAATTTCACTCAGGATATATTGGCCAGAAGACCTTCCTGGAGCTGAGCATGCTTGTATTGCTGCCTGGTTGTCTGTAAAGATAATTGCTGTATAGGTCTGATGGGAACATTGCGATGCTAGTCTGCCTGTGTTGCATATTTGGATAAGCGCCATTTTTATGCCCTGCAATTCCGCTGCATATACTGTGTGGGTAGCTGAGGAGCCAATGCAGACAGCCTGGTGCCCCAGAGGTGAAACTGCTGCTGCTCCAACTCCCTGTTCTGTCAAACTGCTATCTGTGTACACGACAATGTTGGCTCCGGACTGGGATCTTCTCACTTTGCTTAGTATTCTGTTTCTGGCAGACTGCACACTAGGCCTTGGCACAGTCTCTTTCTGTAGGGCAGTCCTGAGAGGAATGGTTTTGTGCACAGTATGCACATGAGGTAGGTCGCTTGCAGTTTTGGGCTATGTGGCCATATGCTTGGCAGTTGAAGCACTGCTGGATCTGATGAGTTTGGTCATAGTATTCGCACGGGTGGTCGCGGCCATCAATTGCCAGGCCAAGCAGTATGGCTATATTTGCAGCCCAGTCATTGTCAAACTCGACAATTAGCTTTGATGTTTCTGGTTTATGTTCCGCAATATGTCGAGGACCAAGAAGCCACCCAGTATACGTGATTGCTGTGGGGGCAGAGGCCAGGCATCCTAAGTTATCTGCCTTAATGCAGGCTGGGGCAACTGCTAGATCGAGCTTGCAGTTGACACCGTTCATAACAATGCAATAAGTTCTTCTTTTGATGGTTGCATTGTCTCCAAAGGTGAGGCACCAATCTTAAGATCTTCAACTGAACTCATAAACTGGATGAATAGATCCCTAGGGGGCAGCCCCTGGGTCCGGTCAGCGACTTGCTTCAGCTCTGCTGTTTCTGTGAGAATGGCAGCTGCATGGGCGCATTGGTCGTGGTCTTTGTGATTGTATGAGTGGTTAGGCCACGGAGATGCGGCTCCGACCACCCCTTTCTTCTTTGCACCCCCCATTATCAGCGACAACTGGGGAGAACAGCGTTGAAAGTAGTATCAATCGATTCCGCGTGAAGTTAAATATAAGATTCGCACTCACCATATACACAACAGTTTGCATCATGTCTGCCATTTTGGCTTGTAGGTCTTCAGCCGTCGGCTTGACCTGAAACAAGCCTAGATAAGGCGCAAGTTGCTCGTCAGTGATCCGCTGCAGGAAACCATCGGGGATTTTGTTAAAAGGATCAGTCGCTTTCACGCCAGAGGCAATCTCGGGATCACCACGGAGGCTGTTCAAGACATGCAACAGGGACATGGATGACACGATTCCCTGTGATCGAACGTATTTTTCTGTCGGGAGGAGAAACCTCTTAGGCCAGTTATCATGCACACAAGCACCGGCCAGGGCTTCCGCGATGAGACTTGGTTGCTGGAACTCAATCACAGAGCCCAGATGGATCATCGGATGAACGAGATCTGATCACATTAGAACCGAAGTCATGATAGACCAACACAGCCGAGGCTACATACCCGAGAACAATCGACAGAGAATATCATCTGCCCTCTCATCACCTTTGAGAACATATTCCTTGACAATGTTTTGCCATCCCTTCTCCGCGACTTCGTTTTCAAAAAATCCCAGAAAAACAGCATAACAATCATCATTTCCGAGACATTTGTCAAAGGTCACCGGATCATTAAGGTCCAACCCTTTTATGCCTGGAACCAGGTCTCGTTCGATGGAGGATTGGTACGGCGTATTGTAATCCCACATATCCTGTATCTCGGCCGGGGATGCTCCCAGCGCCCAAAGAGCGAGGAGGTGATGAACGATATGGTCTGACGGATAGTAAGCCGCATGACTCCTCATTAGCAGCCCTGCTGATGTCAGATTGACTCACTGTGGAAAGTGCTTTTCCATCGTGTATGGTACAAATGATGGTTAACCGTCAGTAGGTCAGATGTGATCTTTGTCATTACCAAGTGGCGCTTTGCTCACTACCCTACCCTACCGTCCCAGTACACCTCTACGGCAACGTACCCAACTTTTCCATCTTCATCGTCAACCTATTCCACGGTATCTGCCCGACGCAAAATACATATTTCCTTCCTCTATACTGCCAGTCAATCCTCGGCGCTGGTGCGCTCATGTCGGGTGTTTTACTCCTCCCCTTCGCCATCTCCAAGTCCGTCGCCACAGTGAGCACGGGCATTTATCTGAAGAAAACCTGTCGGTACAACGACTGCATCCGCGTCGGCTTTATCCTGCTAGTCCTGGGCATGGGCCTCTTCTACGATCTGCCCAATGGCAAAATATGGTCGAATATTATCATCTACCAGCTAATTTCTGGTTTCGGTGTCGGTCTCATCTTTCAGCCGCCTTTGATTGCCCTGCAGAGTCATGTCCCTGCGCAGTATAACGCCGCAGCCACGGCTTCGTTTGGTCTCGTCTGTAACGTTGCCAGTGCTATTGGTGTTGTTATTGGTTCGGTTGTCTTTTCGAATAGAATGAACGCTCAGCAAGACCCTCTCCGGGCGCTGTTGGGGCCTACAACTGCAGATCTCTTTTCTGGGAGTAACGCCCAGGCTAATGTGCCATTGATTGAAAATCTGAACGACAACCAGAAAGACGCCGTGCGAAGAGCATTCTGGGTCTCGTTGCGGGATATTTGGGTCGTTGGCGTGGCTTTTGCTGCTGCTGGATTAGTGGTTTGTTTCTTTATCGGGGATAAAAAGTTGGATAAAACTCATGTGGAGGTGAAGGTTGGATTGGAGGGTGAGGAGAAAAGAAGGAAAATCACGGATCAGCAGAGGAAAAGGGCTGCTGAGGGTAATTATGCTTAGTTTTTGTTTACGGGAGTCACATAGTGAACCTACATTCCGATGAGGAGGACCTGTTGGCCGCGGAGGGCTTCGACTAGGGAAGTGTCATCATCACCGCTGTAGTCGACGCGGATCACGTTGATGCGTTCGGGGAGTATGCTGTTACTTTCGGCGCGCTGGATCGCGGTCAAGACATGTTTGCCGTTTCTGAGGATTTCTTGGGCCAAGTGACTTCCAACTTGGCCACCGGCCTGTACGCGGTATTTTTTTAGGGCTTATCCAAGATCGGTTCTAAAGGAAGCTGACTCACCCCGACAATAGCCACCTTTTCAATGCGGTTTGTGAAGCCCGCAGGCTGATCCTTGGCGTATTTCGAAGTCGTGGTTGTAGGAGAGGGGATTCTGGTACTTGCGGTAAAGGGTCGTCGAAAGAAGCGGTTTAGGTTACAAGGCAGGCATTTAAGAAGAGACATGCCAGATCTTATTCAATTCAGTAAACACCGGAGTCATCGGTCTTACTTCTGGAGGCCAAAGAAATCCAGTCGGAGATAATATATTAACTCCCTTTGGTTTTTGGTTGTTAATCTTGCCCAAGATAAGTGCAGGATCCGAATCCCTGTTGATTGTTTCGGGTACCGATCGGAGAGTTTGGATATCTGTACTAGTCAGACTTGAATATGCATATTATGCATACAAATATCAATAAAGCTACACGAATAGCCTCAAGAGACAGAGTAGTAAGTCCCACTTTGCATCATGTCGCCCAGTACATTTCCTCTAGATGAATTAAGCTGGATAATCACCAAGAATGCCAACATACTAAGTCAATATCTCGCCTCAAACAACCTCCCCCAACCGTCTTCTCACAGCAATGGCCCTGGCACTGTTGTTCCTGGCTCATCCCCTGAGAGTATCCACCAAGCAAAACAGAATCTCATTTCTGCTTCGCTGGACATTCTGCATCTTGCAATCGGGCCCAGCGAGTTTCTGCCCAACCTTGCTACGGGTGTACGCATCCACCCCTTCTACCTGCCCATCCTATACTAACATATTCAGTTTCAATACGTCGCTTGCCTCCAGTGGCTTTGCCAATACAAGATCTTCCATCTCATACCTCTCAACGACCCAATCAGTTATGCAAGCCTTGCCACGGCAGCTAACCTTCCCGAGTATCGCCTCAAAGCCATCATCCGTATGGTCATGACAAACACGCTCTTCACGGAAGAACCGGACGGGAAACACATCCGTCACTCCGCTACCTCGGCCTTCCTAGCCCGCAATGACGATGCATACGCCTACGCGACGTACATGTGTGCTAAATCTGCCCCAATGGCAATGCACATGGCAGCAGCACATGAGCGATGGGGAACTGATACAACCCGCACGTATGAAACCGCGTACAATCTCGCCTTTGATACTGATCTTCCGTTTTTTGATCATCTTTCCCGCAATGAGAACAAAATGAGAGAGTTTGCTCGCTATATGCGCAGTGTGAGGAGTAGTGAGGGTGTTGATCTTAAACATCTCATCGCAGGATTCAACTGGCAGGATATCGTTGATAGTGGAGTTGTTGTTGATGTAAATCTACCATCTCTCCCCAGCCCCAATGAGTATACTAAACTTATTTATCGCTAGGTCGGAGGATCAACCGGAGGCGCAGCTATAGCCCTAGGCAAAGCATTCCCTCACCTCAACTTCGTCGTCCAAGACCTCCCAGAAAATGCAGACAACGGACGTGAAGCGGCAGCTCAATCCTCCTTACCTGCAGACATTGCATCCCGTCTCACCTTCCAAGCCCATGACTTTACCCACCCGCAACCAGTCCAAGGCGCCGAAATCTACCTCCTGCGGATGATCCTTCACGACTGGCCAGATGCCAAAGCTATCAAAATTCTCCAAAACATCGTAGCGGCAATGGATAGGAACAAGGCGTCTTCGCGTCTGCTTATCATGGACACTGTACTCCCGTCGCCTGGGTCAGTACCTGTTTCTGTGGAGCGGCTTATCCGAGTCAGGGACTTGACTATGTTTCAGGCTTTTAATAGTAAAGAGAGGGATTTGGAGGATTGGAGGGGTTTGGTTGCGGCTGTTGATCCAGATTTGCGTTTGGTCGGCGTTATTCAGCCTTTTGGTAGTGCCATGTCTGTTTTGGAGCTTTCTTTAGGCTCTACTGAGTGAATGTATGTACATGGATGAGGGTATAGTCAGTGGTTAACATTGATCCCGAGCACGCAACAACGTTGGTTTCTCACCGTATACTATATTTGAAATAAACTTACATACATAAAGCTAGCTAGCCCCAGGTATCGAATCGGGGCATTCGGGTTTCTCAATTAGAACAGGTTCGGGTTACAACGACAGCACAGTACAGGTTACACAGAGATGCTGTCTTAACCAGCACCCGAGTCACCGCGACAAAACTACAATTTGGTGACCGGAAGTAAGATGTGCTGTTCTCACATCATTTCCGTAAAGGCCGTATTCAAATCCAGCCGGGGTCGACCTCGCTGATCACTTATACAATATTGGACATAATGACGGCAGAGCCTAGGTTTGAAACGAAAATTGCAAATGCGAGGTAATCCTCGGTATGACTGTGGTTCATACTCATGAAAGTTCCAGCTTTCCCTGTCAATTCACAAAATCATCTCTGCAGCATTTTACTTCAAAGATGGCCAGGTTTGCGGTCAAATCTCTAGACCACTTAGTTTTAACTGTCCGCTCCATTCCGGACACAGTTGCATTCTACACAGAGCATCTTGGTATGCGACATGAGATCTTCACTTCGCCACTTAACCATAGCATCCAAAGGTATGGGCATAGGGCTGTGACATTTGATTGGTACCTTGCTTACTGAATGTTCACCACAAGACATGCACTCGTGTTTGGCACCCAGAAAATCAATCTCCATGAATTCACCAGGGAGTTCGAACCAAAAGCTCAGAATGTGCAGCCTGGAAGTACTGATCTCTGCTTTTTGACTGAGATGGATGTGGACCAGGTGCTTCAAGCGTTTTAAGAGGCAGGAATTGAGGTAAGAGTGTTGAGTTTTCTATTGAGATTTTGTGCTGAGAGTCTAAATGTAAGTCCTGGAGGGCTCTAAAGTTGTTGACAGGATTGGGGCACAAGGGAGGATATGAAGTGTGTATGTGCGAGATCCTGACAGTAACTTGATTGAGTAAGTCATTTCCTTTCACGGTTTTAGTAAGACTACCTCGTAACGGTTAATGATCCAGGATGTCAAACTATGTTGAATCAAGTTGATTTACAGGTCAACAACTTTGGGTTGAAAGTAGGTATCGAAATTATAACCATTCTATGATATATGAGTGAGAAAGCGAGATGTCTCATAAAAGAAGGATATGAACATGTATCCGGGCATGTAGACTCTGCTTACATGTAGCCCTGGCCCTATATCTTGGCTTCCCCTCATCCCCATTAAAACTGAAAAAAAAAAAAATAAATAAATAAATAAACTTATTACCTGTCACGGGTGATGCGCCATAGTATGCAATCCATAGCATGCACGAACTTTGCAGTGCATGCAGCTGCCCTGTTCTTCTTAGTCCCTGACAAACGCATAGCCTCACTCCAACAATACCAGAGATATCAGTTTCTGCTGTCTATTCCTGAAATTCTGTTGAGAACCCGGCCTATCACGTTTAGTAAGGACAACGCGAGTTATCTGTCGGGCTTCAGCACTAATGCAACCACCCCGGTACGTTTCTTAGTGCTCAAGAGCTGTGTGAGAGCCTCAGACTCCGATATGTCTCGCTCCTGATTGGCCCGCTCTAGCGAGCCCCATCCAGTTAGGGATAGCGCTGCCTCACGCTACTTTTGGGCCGCTCACATGCCGCCTCAACGCATCCGTTGCATCTATAAAAGCCCAATGTCTCTCCCTTGAAGGACCATGCACTTTCTATTCCCTTTGTCCCCCGCCTTTCTGCCTCGCCCGGTGCACTGCCCTAGGCCTCGCCGAGACCCTCAACCCGACCCTCAACCCTCGCCAAACCCCATGTGGGTGACCTTCGCAGACCCTCATTGACCCTCATTTTCATAAAATTTTCCACGCTTTACCCAATTTGGATGCATAAAAATGATGATTCATCTTGATACAATAACTAACTAGTTAACCAACTAGTTAACTAACTATCCGTTTCATATCATTCATTACCCAGCCCATTCATCCAGGTCTAGTCCATCTGCGCAAACACCTCCAGCGCCTCATGCAACCTTCCAAATACACCGCTATGCCACCCCTTCAATGCTTCCCACTCCTCCCCCGGCAACGTGCCCCGAGCGAAGCGCAACCATCCCCCCACAATAAAATCCGCATAATTTGCCCTATTCCCTATCAGAAACGGCCCACTCGCATCCCTCTTATACAACTTTGCAAGCCCACCTAGGGTCTCCTCAAACAACCTCAATATCTCCCTCCTCTCCTCCCCACTAACCCCCATCACTTCCCACGGCACTCCAATCCTCCGCGAGAACTCCGCCTTGTTCTCCTCCGCAGTAGCAGGATCAAAAGGAAACTCTTGCATCGCTAGCTGCGCATGCGCACTAAACACAGCATCCACATTTGTATTAAACCTTGCGTACGCCACAACATGCCCCTCCGCCTCCGCCTCCGCAATCGGCGCGAAAAGCCCTAAGTCCCGTCCAAAGACGAACCCCAGCTCCTGCGCCGGGAACAAGTCCCCCGCCCCCGAGGACGGGTATTGTTCCTGCAGGTATGTCGCAATTTCCAGGGAGTCGCCCACTATGCGCCCGGTGGCTGGGTCGGAGAGAACGGGTAGGGTGTGGTAGGGGGATCCGTCGGCGAATTTGCGCGAGGCGGGGATATTGAGAGCGCTGCGGACGGAGCTGACGTCGACTAGGGGCACCCAGGTTGTTTTGTAGGGAGTGTTTTTGAAGTTTAGGGCGTAGCGGGTTTTCCAGGGATTTGGGGAGCAGGCGCTTTTCTGGGCGGGGGGTGCGAGGGCGATGTCGTAGAAGGTCATTAGGGCCGTGGTGGGTGATGTAGTTGAGGTCGAGGTTGTGGATGTCATGGTGAAATTTGCACGAGGAATTGGAGTTGGAGAAGTTAGTGGAGCGTGATGTACTCTGTGAATAGGAATTGGAGTTTGTTTTGGGCTGTTAATTAATCCCCCGGAAGAGCAGCTTTATATACCGATTTGTGTGGAGGGCGGCGATGGTCGAGTTATAATGAGTCATGCATGATGTGGGGAATGGCCCGCATGCGGTATGTAAGAGTGTAACTATAACTACTAGTTAACTATTACGCATAGTGACTCGGACTTTTATACAGCTAAATTAGGAAAATCTTGGCAAATTTATGTAAATGCGGTTCTATCCCGCACTTGATTAGGGTTGACTGATTTGAGTCCAATCAAGCATGCGGCTTATACCAGCCTTGATTTCGATCATGCCTCATTAGGCACATAAATAAGCTCCATCATTCTCTCGACACTCATTATCTCACATTCTCACTCGTTCGTATCTCATTATTTTCATTCTATATACGAGAAGATGGAGAAGGTACATCAACCCAATCCGCATACATCCTGGTTCAGAGCCAATACTGACATAGCCTCTAGCAATTGCCGAGCAGCGGACATGCGAGTAGCTATGGATGTCTTTTCCAGGACTCGCCAGCAAAGACATGGACCCATTAATGGAAACACTAGAACCCTATGATGGCCATTTTCTCCAGGTCTAAGGAGTAAAAAGGTCGCCAAATATTTATCAATGTGCTCAACTAGACGTATTAGGATCACTTTCTTGCCGCCCATTTGACACTTTTTAGAGTTTTTTTTGTCCACAACTTTCTGGAGATAGCATGAATGTAATATGTGATGGGATGTGACTCAGGTCGCTTGGGGGATCTACCATCCAATTGATTGAGTCGCTCAATTGTGGATTCAGAACACCAAGTGCGGGTTACCTTTGCAGCTGTCACAGGCTGCGCCTGTTGCATAAGCAGTATGCTTAGTCGGAGAGATGATCGGAGGGGCTATCTATCCCGCACGGCGCACACATGTATATAGAGCCGCCCGATTGGGCATTCGTTTCTTTCCTCTTCAACGAAATTTCTTGTACGACAGCTAGTCATTAGCACTGCGGGCCTAGCCCCTAACATTATATTTCGTTTCTCTCCTTTTCTATCAGCGGCTCGATCGTGCGAATAGTAGGATTGAACTGAGGGTAGTATAACTACGATGATACCCACGACGATGATAACCATGATGATGATAACCATGATGATGATAAACACAATGACGACAACAATGAGGGCTATTGCTCTATTATATATGACAGCAATTGGCTGGAATTCATGCCCACATACAAAGTCCCTATAATCAGTGCTCATGAAGAACCCATCTCCTCTGAGAGCAGTTTCCGCTCCATGACTGAACAACCCACACAGAATGCTGAACCAGAAGCTACACACCCACGGGAGAACCTAAGCACCATGAGCCAAGGCAATGACGGCAATAATGCGCACCAGCGCCCCTGACAGATTCTGCTTGACCCTGAAGTGTTTAGGGGAGACATCGCTTCCTATCAGAACTTCAAACACCTCTTGAAAGCGAAACTGTTGACTTCCGTATACGCCAAAGGCCGATTGATATGCTCGCTGCTCCGACTGACCAATCAACGTGATCCGGCAATTCTCTCGATTTGTTACGACAATCAGAGCCTGACTTGCCCGCCTATCTACGATGTACTAGCCTGTATGATGTGCGGTCGATGGCTCGCCCTCTCTATAGTGCACTCACCTAGGCTCACCCCATATATCTTGCTTGTACTGAAGAACTAGTACATACGAGCATGGGGTGTGGAAAACAGGACTTCCCGTCCGCTCAGCCGTACTTAAGCCACATAGATCCGCACAGTCAATTCTCAAAAAGCCCCATGCTCCAACATTCTTCCGAATCCAAGAATTGGGGCGGGTGTGGGTAATAGGGGTGCGATCTCTATAGCTTCTAGCACCAGCGGTGCAATGTTGACACCAGGGATTTGATACAATATTTAAAAATGGGAATTCCTCACACTGGGGATGCTCAGAATCGTGCAGGTGAGTGGAGAGTCACGATAAAGGTGAAATGACTTGAAAGTGACAGTGAATAGTGAGGGCACCCAGGACTCTTTGAGTGTATTCTGTATCCATGCACTCTTCCCCTGCCTTGGGATTTTGGCCTCACTCTCTCCTCTCTGTACGCAAGTGATATCACAGTACACCATCTTCTTTTTGAATGCCGGAAATGGCGACAGCAACGAAACAAGCTCTACAGGGATCTGGAGCTGGATGGGGTTATGAGACCCACCCCTGCAGAGGAGCACCCGCAGGGACGACTTCTGGGAGAGCCCAGAGCTACCAAGGCGCTGCTACAATTCCTAGCCGGCACCAGTGTAACTCTACCCCAGGGATATCTGCAGCAGGCGGCGGAAAGAGCCCGGAGGGACGAGGAATGGGGATTGGAAGCATTGGAGGAGGCAAGTAGAACAGGGGAAAGGTAGCAGGGAGGGTTGCCTAAGCCGAGATTCAGCCTAGGCGGCAATGGTAGCGGCGACCTCTTAACATGCTGTGGTAATATAAGGATATCAATCCTCTCTCTTTGTACTTAGTATATGACAGTTAGCGTGACATTCGAGTCAAGTCCACTTTTCCAACTCGACTCAAATACCACGCTAATGACAATGAATGCTGGCAATAAAAAATTAACACCAGCAAAGATCGCACAATATTGTGGCGCAGACCACGGGGTTACCAGTCTGCTGCTGCACGGCCTTACAGGACCAGCTGAAAGTAATACTAGTGATAAGGGATTTTATCAGCATCTTGATATCCCTTTACAATCACAGTCTACAAATATGGCTTGTTATGCGTGTCTCTGGGTAAGTATGGGCGTTCTCTAGGAACGTGACTACTGGTCTCCTTTAAATAAATCATCTACTGCCATCATAATCTGCTATCTAATATATCAAAATTAGTGTATTCATGAAATGATATATAAGTGTGAAATGTGTAACTCCTATGCGCTATGCAGTAAATACTATTACTGGTGTGACACAATTACCCACGTGAGCCTCCCAGACCATACATTCAAAGAGATCAGGCTGGAGTTTGAAGGCAATTCCGAATAAATATCTAAGGAAAATATGGAAGAACATGTCTCGACACCTATTTTGACTTTGGACGACTCTGGTTCTGTACTTCCGAAAGTCATGAAGGTGACAGAAACAGTGACAACCAATCTGAGTCAGATGACGAGAGATCCTTAGGTACTGATAGGTAGATTACTGCATAGTTTCATCGGACAAGCATTTGTACGTAACTGATTTCATGGCTTATATTTGATATTAATTTATATACAGGTGGACTAACCCCGTAAGCTGGGGAGGACTCAAGGTAGTTATGTAGTATTTGTATGACATAAACTTGATTCTCTTTTCGAGTAGTCCACAGTACTGCATAAAAATCAAACACAAGACCCTTAATGCTAGTATTTCTTCGTCGTTTTAGTTTTTCAATTTCTGCAGATGATCATCGAGCTGATTCACATAATTCTGAATGCTGGTCTTCGAGGGCTGGGGAATATTATAGGCCTCCTTGATGTAAGCATCAGCTACAGGAAAGGTCAGCGATGCCAAAATTTGCAATGATTATAGATAACGATATATGTAAAAAAAAAAAAAGAAACACACCGTCATCGCGAAGGGCGTTCCATTCCTCGATAATGGACTGTAGGTCCGTTTCCGCCATATCCATCGGGGGCACACCCTCTGTTTCGTCCTCAAAGAGAGACATGAGAACCTCTAACTTGGTCGACATACTTTTCCAAGCGCCCTGCAGGTCCTCGAGGATAGATATGGCAGGCGCGATAATGCCCAATAAACTGTCAACATCGGTCTACTCATAGATCAGCCAAATCAATGAAGCGTCCAAGAGGGGAGCCTTCTTACCCCCATGCCGGTGATGTCTCCCTGTAGCGCATTGGCGGCCTGCAGCTTGGCTTGGTCCGAGTTGATCACAACCATGATTTTGTTCAAACTGTCTCTCAGGCTGGCAATCTCCTCCTCAGCCAGGGCGATGACAGCGATCGCCGCAATGGTGCCCACAATGGGACTTTTGCCGTCAGCATATGACCCCATCTTCAATAGATCATGGCGCTGGACTTACATCCAACTGTAATATTCGGTATGCTGTTCCCTGAGCCGGGCTGTGATGAAGACTTCAACACTTTATTTTCGTCTTGACATGGGGAGAAGGCCTACCTTCGTCGATCCGCTTCTGGATTGGCTCCAGGGCCTTTTTCGCATCCTCAATCTCCTTTGTTAGCGTCTCAATATCGCTATTCTCTTTTTTCAGCAAGGTCTGCATGGTATTAGCGCTGCCATCGAGCTGGCCCTTGCTTGCGACACATTTATCGTGAAATACGCCTAGGTCAGTGCGAGCAGTTTCTGCCTTTCTCTGCAGATCAGTGACGATTCCAAGCTGCTTTTTGGCAGCGTAGGTAATGTCGGCTGCATATTTCTCCCTTTCATCATCTGTGTTGGCTTCGTTGTAATTTTTAACCCACTCCATGATCTTGTAGTAATAGGAGCTCTCGTCGGTGCCACCGGCCTTGGAGGCATAGGTGTAGATGTTGCTGGCGAGTTCGACAATACCATCCCAGGTGTTGTCCTGGAAGTCGGACGAGTCGGTTTTGATCTGTCAAGCAATGGAATAGCCAGCACTCGATCAGTTTCTCTCATCAAGGGGTCAATGTGCCCCCAATAGACGTACTGTTTTGTAGACCCTTAAGAGATTATCAACAGCACCCCAGACCTCATCACTGATGACGCTGGTGTCTGCCACACCAATAGTCGATGTATACTCGGTGCGATCGGTGGGCAACATTCGCCCAGTCATGACATATCGATTCAAAGATCCCATGTCCTTCTTAGCGAGCAGGAATGTTTTCTGTCCATTGTCGCCCTGGGATATGTACATGCCCTGGGGATACCAGACCTTGGGGTCTTTGATGGGCTTGGTTGGATCAAAATCCGACATGATGAGAGTTTTTTTTCGCGCCTTTGCAAATGAAGAGTGGTTCAAAAAAGGAAAGAAAAATAGCCAGAGGATTGGATGGAAATGAACGGATAGCCTGACGGTTATCACTCTATATGCTTCTCTTCATCATACTACGTTATATCTCCCATTACCCGGTCTCGATGTAGTCTTGTATGAGGCATTTTTTGTCCATGCATACTGTTACGACCAGTTGTCAAATCTGTTCAACCCCTATCGTAATAATTAATCATAATCCTTTCCACTCTAGGCACCCATGACAGCGAAGGCACCAGAAAACTCATCGTCACCCCATTTCCAGAGATGTTGCAGGTATTTGATACATGCCATTGGAACCTCGCGATCACTTGGCGATTTACAAAAGTCCTTATAACAGTATACACCATTGAATCGAATCGAATCAGACAGGGTTCCACTCAAGCTATCCTATATCCTTCCCCGCATTTCTACCACATATGCATGAATAACATCAGGCCCGGTCCGGTCCGCCAACTCCACCCTGTAGCACCTGCAGATGGAGATGATGAGAGCGCACCATGTCACTAGGAGGTCAGTACAATGATGTAAGTCATGGTCGGGTACATTTGAGGTGTCTCATCTGGGACAGATGTGTTGTCATCTTGAGAGCCTTGACGGGTCGGAGAGATCTGGATGCCCGTCGGCCGTCATCAAGATCATCGCGAGGCAATTTCTCCCCTGCTAAGGACTTTTTGGGCAAAGAGTGCCCAACACCCCTCACAATGGCGTAACATTAGTCGGGTCCGTCTAAAAATTAACTAGGTTCATGGCGATTGGATCTCCCTGGCAAGTATTCTGGTGCAATTCGAGGTACGTTTTAGTATATTATGTCTGCATAAATGACATACCTAGAAATATCCATACATCACTTTCACAGTGGGGCGGGGAAATAAATAAATAAAAGAATAAGAATAAGAAATAAATTCCTTTTCACTTATTCACTCTCCCAACCATCTACCCTCCTACAATCAATATGCCCAGTATCAACCCCCAACCCAGCTCGCCCGAGCAGTGGCAACAATATGCCCAGTCCGATGCCATCGCCAGTATCCCATTCACTGTGGCTCAGGAAGACAATTCGGTAAAATGACTGGCGATCTCTACTCTGAATTGAGACGTAAACTAAACATTTGACAGGCTGTTGCGACCTACCGAGGCGTGTACCTGGACGAATCAACCGTTCTGAATGCATCCAGCACCAAGGTCTACATCTATACCGACGTCTTTGCCTTTACTTCGTCTGAAATCACCTTTTCTCCACCTTCCGCCGGCACGATTCAGATCGTTGCTCGAGTTCTCACAGCTCCCGCCCCAGTCAACCTCAAGATCAACCGCCAGGGTACCAGATGCACGATCGCCTTGTATGCCTCTGTTATCGACCAACCGATCAGCGTCCTGAGCGAAGGCTTTGGAACAAAGACCTTGCAACTTGGGCCCACTAGTGGCAATCTTGGGGCCGTTGTCACTGTGACAGACAAAGAGATCCAGGTCAGCTACCAGCCGACCTATTTCATCGATAGCCATGCTGCATTTGAGGCTTGTCTTGAGACCCAGCTGCGAATTGCTCTCGCACTCTTCTGGCAGAGTACCTCCATCGCTATCTCCCTGTGTGCACATGTGACTACCATGACCTCACAGTCTCCCAAATTCCCTCTAGTCAATGCCCAAGCAGTGGCTCTCGGCCAACAGCTCGCGGCGCAAACCATCACAGGCCCGGATATGAGCTACCTGCCTACTCTGCAGGCGGACTCGTACATGGACGCAGTTGAAAAGGCCTTAGATGCCATGCTATCTTTCCAGGAGCAGTATGATCGCTTCCAGGACAAAGATCAGGCATGGCAGACCTTGGTCGAACAGTGGGATGCCATGTTAGACCAGGCTGTCGATCAGAGAAGCATGCTCGTTGTACTACGAGATGCAGCGTATTCCAAGTATACCTATGCGTGTGACACAGTTTTTTCGTGTTCACAACAGTTTGAAGCCGATAATGGCGAGCTCATCCAGGCACAGGCGGCGTTTGAGGCAGGATTGGCCGAGTGGCAGTATCAGCAGAAGCTCAAGGCTGTGTTTAATATTCTGGAAACTATCCTCAGTAAGTCCCTGTGTTTTGTCTTCTTCATCTTACGCTATGTGTCCCTTGTGCTCACCTGAATGATAGAAGTGGCGGTTAATATTGGCGAGCTCTGTCTTCTTGGTATGGGAGGTGCTGGAGGGGCCGAAAAGGCCGTCGAAGAGGGAGTCGACGCAGTGGAAAAGGCAGAGGAGATTGCAGACCAGGTGAGCAAGGAACTGTCATCAGCCACTCTAAAGAAGCTGCTTGACTGTGTCAAGATCCTTCAAACCATTTATCCCAATATCACCAATATTGTGACGGCAGTCAAAGCCCTAGAGAGCAATCCCTCGACTGATATTCCCACAACGGGGGATATCTCCGGCAGCAACCAGGGTGATGCGGATGCAAATCTGATTGTGACTCTTGCTGCATGGGATGAATGGGTGCTTGAATCGGATAATCAGATGCAGGTTGCGGTAGACAATAAGATAGGGGGCGCTGCCGGCTATCGCCTGGCATTGCGCAAACACGCCATCAATGGGAAGCAGCTCGCCCAGGTGCAGACAGAGGCCATCAAGGCTGGCCAGCAGTACGTCCAGGCCGAAATGAATGTCCTTAATAGCGATAAGGACGTTGAACGGCTGCAGCAGCTCAGAGATGGCTTCAAGGGCCAGGACGAGGTGTACCAGGAGGCCGCAGCCAGGTTTTACGATCGGGTAATGGCGATGCGCACCAGTGTGGTCATTCAACTGCGCAATCTCACCTGGGCCTATCGATATTATGCTCTAGCTGAAAGCAGCGTCCAGCTGGACGCTACCAAGACCGTGGCGGAGTACAAGCAGGATATTTACATTATTGGCAGTGAGATTCAAGCCGCTGATGAGCAATACGGCAGTGATTTTCAGTGTGAGTATATCACCATCTGTGCTGTAGCATGGCGCTAATTCTGTTTAAGACTTCGAAAATCCCACCTCGTCGAGCGAGGTCAGTTTCACTCTCGTTCTCATTCGTGAATACTTGACTGACCTGCTCTAGCTCCCCTCCAACTACGGTCCATTAATGATTGATGGCCTTCAGGGCTCAACTCACAGTAGCAGATTCATTCTTCTCCCCAAGACCAGCACGACCAAAGACAGCTTTGCCAGTGTGTTTACGGATGGCACGCACTACCGCCTTGAAGGCCTGGAAGCGGAGCTGAAAGGGGCAATGCCCAATAAAGATGCCCTCGAGAACGGTGTGGTTATTGTCGTGCTTGAGATCACCACTTCCGGGATATACCAGGACATTCGGGATGACCAAGTTTTTAACTTCACGAGCCTGCCCCAGATCAAGCGGTACTCCTACGAACTCACCGAATCCGGAAAAAAGGGAAAGGTTCATGACAAGGCAATCTTTCCGACCATATACCATACCGAGCCAACACCGTTTACCCAATGGACTATCAAGCTGCTGTATCCAGATCGACTCGATCTGACTGGGCTTGCGGAGGTGAAATTAGATTGGGCAGGACATGTGAGGTATCTAGCGAGCAAAAGGCTGAAAGAATCAAATTGAATAGAATAAAACTGAACCTGTGAAGGAACAGATATTCTATAGCATTTATTCTACCTAATCGTCAATGAGAAACACTAGGTATTGGTATAGTTTGCTTTGAACTCCCGAACTAAAGAGAATGGTTATCGCACGCCACTGAAATCCAAATAGTCTTGACTCACCCTGCTCGGCCAGATGATCCCACAACTCAAGAATATTGGCCTCATTAAGATCGAGAATGGGGCTCGGCGCTGGATCAGTATCGTCCTCGAGCGACTTCTTCACATCCTGCAGGTCAACGGCAATGGCTGCCACGGCGCCTACAACCATATCATTAATGACTATTCCTTCTCATATCCAGCGATACAAGGCACACTCACCCACGGCCTTTTCCAGATCATCCAAGGGTGGACCGCACGAATCATTCAGATCAATCCCCGAAATGGTATTTCTGGTCCAGATCACTGCGTCTAGATTACCCTGGAGATCCTCCGGGTCCGAAACATATTCACGCAGGAGTTTCTCGACTTCCGGGTTTTGCAGGTTATCAGATAACTGATCAAGCGTTGCCTGGGACACAGTCGCATTGATCGTGGAATCGTTCATATCCTCCTTAGTCATGGTAGCCAGATCAGACAAATTGCTGACATTGTTCAACCGGTCAGCGATAGTGGCTGTGACCTTGACACGCAAACTGTCGTTGCTGGGGTCTTCGTAGAGCTTGGCCAGACCATCGAACAGCTCATCTAGAATTTTCAATTCCATCAGCCGTGAGGGCACACCACCAGCAAAGCCAGATCATACCATAATCCGCCTTGGCAGTGGAACAAGCCCCCCAAATGCCATCACATACTCGTCCTATTGCACTAAATTCCTCCTTTCTTCCTTCAGTCTATTATTCGTGTACCATCAGAAAAAACCTACTTCGAAGCTCAAGGCAAGATTTTGGACCTATCATCGCGATGAGCTTCACGCTGAATAAGAGAAAAGAAAAATAAATAATCAACATACCTTCCAAAACTCCTCCACAATCGGTTGTATGTATGTAACAATCTGCATCCCATCAGCCTATCCATTCCCACCAATGGAAAGGTCAGGTGGTGCCTACCGCACTCCATCCCATGGAAGTTAAGCCGCTCTTCATCATGAAATATTCCTGGGTACTGGGGAGATCCTCCACATCCTTGTAGGATATTGTAAGCTTTTGGAACTTGTCGGTACGACAGCAGAAGCTGTTGTCGATGAGTAGTGTTCGTGGGGTGAGAAAGTCTTCGGCGATAGACATCTTGCCTGATGGGCGTTTAAGTCCTGTCATCATTTTCCTCGTCTGTAGGGGGGTAATAGAGGTCTAACTGAATTCCGTATGGTTACATTGAACATTGCAGTGTGTTGTAATGCATTACGTTGGGCAGCAACGTATACAGGGTGTGCATTAGTGGACCATGACAGGGTTGTTGGATGGAGTTACGATTCATTGAGATGGTTCCAGCCCATTAATAGACATATTCATTGTCAGTGCGTCTCAGTCCCTACTGAATTGAGCAATATATCTACCACTATGTACACAATACACTTTCAGGATAGGTTTCATACTTTCGATAGGGAATCGACCAATTCTCATTCTCTACTTGAAGCTGAATATCAGTATGAGTGTGGCATTTCCAGTCAACTCAATTCACGCATAAAGAGGAAAGTACCCACTTATTATGTTCTGGTAACTTTATGTGACGGCTCGACGCTGCGTCAACAACTGACACAGACAAACGACATCAATACGCCAGACAAGACATTAGTGATGTCAAACAAACGCCTATAAAACCCTTTCTTCCCCGAGATAGATTTACTTTTCTCTTTTTTGCTCCAGATTCGATATTCTCGTCGATGGCTACACTAGTTTAGATAGGAATATCAATTCGTTAATATCTACTGGTCCGAGCCCGTGACATTTATTGGATTTTCAAAGACAAGAAGAACACTGCATACTGTGAGTACCACAAGCTACACCTTTGTGGTGGTAATTCATCCCTTATAGGCATTGCTATTTGGTTAGGTCATAGTTCCGAGAGCTTCTAATATAGCTTTTCTGTGGTCTGTATCGATATATTACTCCAGTGCGGGTGTAGGCTGGCTTGGATGACAGTTAGGTGATAAGCTAGCATTGGGATATGGGTCTTTCGTAAAGCATATTTCTTTCAGTGAGCCAAACGTCAACACTGATGATTATAATATGATTTAAATCGACCCCTAGGTTTCAGCTATCTTTTTGACCCATTGGATCGACTCTGCCCATGTGGGGTGAGCCTCTAACTGGATGTAGAAGCGCTCTGAGAAAGCTTTTAACTACCAGATTCCCTGACAAAGCACTTGTCACGAATCAGATGTAACCCGACGCCGTGATGAAGAAATAATAGGTGAGCCACCAAATCCACTTTTTGGAGCAGGTGTATGAGCGAGCCACTAACATAAACTGGCCAGGCAATGATATTGATCCCAGGACCATCCAGGGGCTCCCGTCCAATACATTCATATAACATCTGGCAGGAGCTCTGGTACGTCTCTTGGTGGTCTCCACCACTTGTATTTATTACTTCGCGTAGTTTCGAAAGCGCTTCCAAGAGAGAACTTTTGGCTATTAGTACTTCCCCTCCAGACAACAGGTCAATGATTTATCTTGACATACCGATGCAAATTGAGAACCCTACCACTTGTCGGTCTTTGTGGGGATTAGCTATGACTTGCAGACCGCATCAAAGACAATACTGACGGATTAGGTGAGGAGTTAAGACTACCTTCTGTATTTCCATCAGCAGGATCCCGCTCAACTCGACCTCTAAACCCTTCGCCTTGGAAACGACTATTTGATTGCCTCAGCAAAGCACAACCTTCGACCAATTTGCGTTGACTGAGAATTTTGGACAGAGGATCCAAGATATGACTGTCCCTGGACACTCCTTGATATGCTGCTGCAAACAATAAGATGAAAATGGAGCATTGAAATGCTGCCTCACAGTCGTGCGGTCCGATATCAGTAAGTGATCTGTGGAAAGCGGAGGAGGCCTTGTTTTGGTATTTCAAAGCTGTCTGCAGCCACCAGTGACGGTCGTTCACTTCGAGAAAGGCTAGGTGTAAAGCTGAAAAGGATAAAACGCTGTCAAGAAGAAACATAGTGACAAGGCCATTCGTGGTATAACTCTCTGGCAATGGTGGATTCCTGGTTTGTCTTGGGCAAGTGTTTTATAAGTCACAGTTAAATAGTGAGATAGCAATCGCAATTCGAGAATTCTTGTTGGTCCACTGAGCTAGTCTGCAGCAAGAGACTCAGACTCGACACCACGTAGGCGGAGTCTTGCACGGCGGGAAATAGTTGGGTATATGCATTGTAGCTTTCATGTAAGGCAAAAGCCACATGTTGGGCTCTTCTCATCGCACTATGATGTTTTAGAAGCATGTACCTAAAACAACAGAGAGACCAGAAGAGCGTGCACGATTTCTGGTCACCTTCTATACCTGGCAGGTGAGGGGCAAGGTGAGCGGACTGACGTTGATGTGCCTGTTTTCACATGGTGTACACCCATTACGGGGCTTTCGATGAGTCTGACAGAGAGGCATCGCTAGGCACTCGGCTGGAGAGTGGATAGAAAATGAAAAATCTCCAGGCTGGGTCCTCTTACCGTCGGATGACCTGACTTAGGCAGATCTCAATTGTAAGATATCTCGGTTGTTGATTGTGTTACAGATAATGGCCAACACGCCCTTGCAACACGCCTACTTATCATGGGCCGTCGCTGACCTATTCTCTCTGGTGGCAGATCCCAGTGGACAGGATCGACAGCCAGATCGGGATGTGGAAGAATCGAATCCACTGCTCCATTGAGCTTGCAGAGCAGATCTTCAGATGCACGAGGATGCAGACCTCTATCTCGGCCTATTCCTGTCTACTTGAGGGCCAATACCATGCAGTAACTGTACTATTGTTTCCTATTTCGCTTTTTTGCTATATTGACATAACCAAGTGCGACACTCCGATAACAGCTAGTGAAATACAGAGAAATTTTCCTTTTCTTTTCCCCTCCTCCCTGCTACTCAAGAATATGTTAACAACTGGAAAGTCGATTAACTTGTACCCATGCCTAGTCGACCCATTCTTCTTGAGCAGTCGGCACGACAATTTTCATGCGAGCCATCTCATGCAGACTATTGAACACTGATTCATATGAATCGGCAAACCCGTTCCAACCCATTTTGCGGGCCTTCCTCATACTCAGCGACAATGGCCAGCCGCCAATTACTGCGGCATCTGTGTGGCCGAAAATGGTGTCTCGTTTCGCAAACGGATCTAAAGATAGGCCATGTTTTTGTTTCAACTCCTCCCAAGCCTGTTCAACTTCAGGGCTTTGGGACCACTCCGTGAGGGTAAAGGAATACCGAGTGGTTCCTCGCGGACCGTATCTGCCAGGGAAATCAGGTGAGTTGCAGGTTCATTGTTATTTCGGAAGGGGGCTTTGAACGTACCCTCTGGGTGGGACATCGTAGGTCCCATGGATGGCGTGGTATCGGGACTCATCGGTCTCCGGGCGAGTCCAATTGGTACCATACCACTGGGCGAGGTACTGCCACAGCCGACCGTACGTAAACGGACTGCCATCCTGCATGTTAAAGGCTTCGCTGCCAGTATTGGGGCTCAATGCAACCCATTCTTCCAGGTAGCTATTCAGCAACGCCGTGCTCTGGCAGTGCTCGCGATCCCATGCTGTGTAGTCCCCCGGAAACACCAGTGGTTTTTTGAGATGGGCCTGTACCGCTGCATAAATGGACAAGCCGATGATGTGGTTAAGGGCGGACTCTTGAGCAGCGCCAATTATAAACGATGGCCGCACTACATTCCATTGGACCGAGTGTCGTTGGCAGAACTCAATCAGCGCATCTTCCTGCGCGTAGTAAAAGTTCGACTCGTTGGTGACTCTACCATCTGTTTCGAAGGATGGATTAAAGGTTGGGCCGTAGTGAAAGCCATAGTGCTTGGCTCCTGTCTGCAGAAGAAATCTGCGTGGAAGGAGCCCCAAAATGCCCAGAGCAGAGAGAAAGCCGGAAAGAAGTTTTGCTGTATCTAGTTAGCATCCATTTATTTCAATTTGGGTAAGCTGAGAGGCTCCACCTACAATTCACTTTCGTTAACTCTTCGGCATTTGACCACTGCCCCTGCGGGCCACTCTTGTCTGAGCGTGGCTGCATGTATGAAAAGAAGAATACATAATCTCTGTCCTTGAATCAATGTTTGCTTTTCTACCCCGCCATGGATATGCATGTGGATGATGAAATGAGGCGCAGGATTGAGGGACGTACATGTGACGGATTGACCTTTTAAGCGTTGCAGCAAGCTCTTGGGGTTCGCTCAAGAAATCGCATGATATGTGTTCGATCCTGGAAGCCGTTTCTTCGCCCAGCGATTTGAGAGTGTATTCAGAGGGTGGTCGCCGAGAAAGACAATAGATCTTCTTCCATCGCCTTGGAGCCTCAGCCAGGACTCGAACCATCGCAGAACCTGTTATTCCATTGGCACCCGTCACGACTGCCGTGAGCCCTGTCAGGTCGGGTGACTCTGGATAGACCGGCAGCCCGTGCAGAGATCCGTTGGAATGGACTTTCAGCATGCTAGTATCGCAAGTCATGATGGCTTTACTGGGAAGTCTTCGACCGGAGCAAAACAAACGGACTTTAAATCTCGCAATGGATTACATTACATCTGATGCCTCATGGCGTAAAGTATATATATATATGTGTGTGTGTGTGTGTGTGTGTGTGTGTGTCTATTTTACGTCGAGGTTCGGGTCTTTCCACGCATCCTTGGAGTCTTGTGATGAAGATCGGATGAATATCGGATGAGTATCGGATGAGTATCGGACCAATCTAGTGAGCTCCGGAGAAGTTTTATCGTACGGCGATGGAACACTCTTAGTTAGTTCTAGTAAGCAGATTCAATAATACGTACATTCCCTACTGCGCGATACTGTCTCTACGGCTCACGGCTGTCATATGGGCCTCGTACGGTAATACGGAGAATTGGCACCGCTGCCCCGAAGCTTCCCCATTTCATCTTGGAGTCTCGGAAGCGGAAAAGCCCTGGTCCCAATGCGAGACATACGACGGGCAGATCGGAGCTGTCTGTCACCTAGCTGAACTACCATCTATCATCTAAATACAGGTAGCCCCCCGCGCGGGGGGCTGCTTGGGTTTTCATGGCTGTCAACCAGCAAATCGAGTGTATTGGTTTGAAAAGAACAGCAAGAACGCGAACAAGAAAGAAGAAAAAAAAGAAAAAAGAAAAAAGAAAAAAGGGGTACAATAAAGGGGAGATAGAGGGAAGAGAGAGGGAGGGGAACCGGAGGTAGGCCTGGACATCCCTGAATTTGGCAAGTTTGGAGGTCTAATGGCGTCGGCAGATGGCTGTATAGAAATGTGATTTTCCCAACCATTCGAAATTCTATGCATGTCTCGCTTGTGTTGGTTTGGGATGTTCGATTATTGGCAATTGGAATGCCGTATGATGTACAGGCAGCTCTGCTCCTTTGGATGTCAATTGATGCCCCTGCCATTAGCATCAAATACGAAATAAATGGGTTAATCGAGACATACCATGAACTATATTCCAATGATACCAAACTTTAAAAATCTATGAGACGGTTCACTGCCGAACAACATGGGATTTGTCGAAGTTGATATAAGAGATGTCAAGATATCAATGAAATCTTGTCTCTAGGAGCAGTGGATTGAGGGCCTAGATATGAGCTGTGCTATGGTGACTTTTGAGAGAATCTGGAATGGTGTTCGCTATTGATCTATTCATGGTCGATCTATTTGCTTCGGGCAGGGCAGATTTCCAACTGCTACTAAACTTTCAAATATGCCTGCGACATTCGTAGAGTGGAACAAGTTTTTCTCAGTCTGATGTTTTTCGTGCGGTAGGATAACCTTCCATCAGACTGATCTTCCTCCAATTATGTTCGAGCCTCGGTTGATATTCAACAGGTGGATGAGCAGTAGGGGATATAGCTGGACCGATATTATCTTTAATTCTTTGCCGTATGTTCTTGACCGTTTCCATATCTGCCGGGAGAACTGCTGCGTCATTTTCTGAGTCCTTGCCTTCTTGTGAGATCTCAAGAATTCTGTTCAATTTGGATTCGTATGTCTCTTCCTCGCCAGTCCGTACACCCTCTTTAGAAACATTAGATTGAAATTGCGATCGAAGAGTCTCCATAGAGCCAGTGTGGATTAAGCCAATAGGTCGAACAGGAACATCGTGGTCAATTTCATATGCACGACCAAAATGAATTCGTGCTGTATGAGGAAGGACAGTTGAGGGATGTTCCACCTTCATGCGTAGAGGTATGAGCGAAAGGCCTGTCTCCCCTTGTTCTGGTGGAGGAATTTCCTTGCTTGGATGTATGATGCCAAATAAATGTTGATCTGATTGATCCGCACACCCTCGGCCTGCGTACCTTTATTGGGAATTAGCAGAGTTATATTTCATAGCCTGGATAACATGACAGTCCTGGGGATGCTTGGTTGCAAAGACAGTCATCTCAACATTTAAATGTGACACGTACGTATGTATTCCCAGGCATAAACTTGATTTAGGACCTTCACGTACAACCACAAATCGCCGTATCAAAATCGGACCAGGGGCGCCACCGTAGTCTTCCTGAGTTGACTGATTAATGGTCTTCATTATCTTGTCATCTGTAGGTATAGGGTTATCCGAAGCAACATCATCCAGGGTGATCCATGATTCTGAAGAGAACGTCCTGTCTGGATGATTTTTCGCTGTACTGCAAATTTTGAGATAAATATTCCAATGCTCAACACGGAAATGAAGTGTTACCCATTCATCTTTAGTCATGAATGTTTCACCTTGTTTCTGCAAGCTATCATTGCACAAGAGACACCTGACATACCCTCTTCTATATCTATCTTCCTTGCAGTGTAAAGACAGATATGAAAGAGGAAGTTGGTGAATTTGGTTGAGCCTAATTCTCCTGTTCGCTTGGTAGGCTGCTTCAGCTCTTTCCTGAAGGATTTGAATTGGCTCAAGAGGCAGGTTGCTATGATCAACACTCTCGCTGTGATCGAGGAAAAATTCAGAGCCGATTTTAAGGGTGAAGATTTGACCTGGTCGAAAAAACAAATGTGGTTGGTTTTGTTGCCGGTAATGTAGATTAATATCTTCATTAGTGAGTACGTGTGGGAAAGAGAACCGTAGTTCTACACCATCGTTGTAGGCGGCGTACCTCTTGATTTCAGACTAGAGCCACCAAGTATACGAGCTTCGATTTTTACGTCGGAAAATGTAGAGTGAATCATGGCCTTTTTTCCAGGTATAACCACTTGATCGGAACAACCCAATGAGAAAGAAGCACTATATTTAGGCGTGTACGCCGTGCTATAGATGATTAATAACTTCAACTGAATAAAGTGAGTGGCACATACTTGTAATAACAAGCCAACTGAACCAGTATATTAACTGCAGAAAGCATTGTGGCAAGTGACTTTCTCAGTTTAGCTATCTTTATGGATCAACTTGAATCAGTACTACTAGCACAACATTAAAGGGAATTGAAGGGCATTACATGGACAGGCATTCGGAATGCCCACCTGCTTTTCATCCAAGCGTCTCTGGCAACATTACCCGAACCACTACTGCTTAGTGAGGCCCTGTATGGTTCAATATTATGAATGAAAGCTTCCATTGCCTCGGTTGCAGAATTGGTGATAAATAAGAGTGAGTTCAGAGTATCCTGAGCTAGCTCATTTGAGACCCTCAGGTCTTCAACTTGCAAAAGAACCTTATGAACCACATGGAGCTCTGCAATGAGGTCCTTGTAATCTTTTTCTGAGCCTGTTGCTGACGACAAAGATTGATAGAGTTTGTATGCTAATGATGCACTGGCTAGAAAGTCTCCAACAGAAAATCCAAACGACATGATGACCCAAAAACTAATGTTGGTAATGGAATGGTAAGTCTGAAGAATTATAGTGATGGTTATGTTTTGTTATTGAGAAGACGTGTGTTGAGAAAGTGTATGATAAGGCACTTTTCAGGATTATGTGGCTGTGCCTCCAAGATGACAGCGCACTCCTTGCCAGCCTTGCTGTCTGGCATTTGATTTGACCGTGATTAGGTGATGACACAAGAGTTGCGGTAACTAAGATAATCTGTAACGGGCTTGGAATAGTAGATACTAACGGATTGAATTCCTATCTTCTTTGTTTGCTTGCATGGCGGCGTTTGTCGATATCAGCCACTGAGGCGGCGTTGAGGCGTTGAGCCGTCACAGCGCCTGTCGCATAAGCGGTATGTTTAATCAGAGAGATGACCAGTGGGGTTATCTACCCTGCACGGCTTCTTCAACGAAATCTCTTGTATGATAGCTAATTAGCTAGTCATTAGCATTGTGGGCCTGGCCCCTAACATTAGAGTTGCATTCAGAGCGGGTTGGGGCAGGTTAAACCATAAATTTTTAGTCCAGAAAGCCACTTCATATACTAAACATAAACACATCATTCCTTATCCATTCATAATCATACACATATATATAGTTATTGAACACGGGGAAGCCCTGACGGTGATACTGGGTTGGAACCAGCGAGTCAATATAGTGAGAAGGGACGAAAAAGGAAGGGAAGGATTGGAAGGAAGAAAGAGAAGAGTGAAGACAAATGAATAAACACTGGACTGGACTGGACTGGACACTGAATAGTTACTGGACAACGATTACCTGGACATACTGGAGTGCATAGTTGATTGATTCATATGCATTTGGCATTGTATTAGATGAAAATCAATGCTTGTAATATGACTGTATTCTCTTTAATTGGAGGCTGTCGGTACACTAAATCCACACAATCTGATCCAACCCACACAAAACGGATTCTCCAAATTCGCTGTGGATTGGGCCCTCCAGAATCTGAATCCGCTGTGGGGTGAGGAAAACTGCCTTCACTCCAATCTGATGGGCGTGGGCTCAGAGCCTCAGAGGTGAAGACTGCATATGGGATCTGCACGTCTTCACAAAACTCCTTGATGAGATGTTGGGTCTTCCGTAGATTGTGGCGGGGAATCCACGGAAATAAGTGATGGATGGCCTGGAACTGCGCACAAGGCCCGACGAGGCGAACATTTCCTACATCCCAATAGCACAAGAATACTATATGGACAGTAGGCTACCAGACTTGACAATGAGTGCTTATCCATCTAAAAGCGTATGACTATGGTGTCCTATATGAGGGGATTCCGTCTTACAACTTGTTTGACCCCGAAACCGTGGTTCAACTCTGAGCGGTAATGTCACTTTACTCCCCCCATCCTTACGCATTTGAACAGGCTGCACGAGCCATCAAAGTGATTTGACAGAATTTAGTTCCTTTTCGCAGGGGCTCTCAGAAGCTTCTGATCTAAAGCAATTCACCACTCGACTTGGATTGGATGAAATAGTGCCTGTGTATACATACTAATATCCAACAGGCCTGGATGGGTAGGATCATTGGCGCAGTATATTTTGTGTTTTGATATATAAATATCCTCGCAGTGCTAAAAAATGTAAAACCATAGGGTCGGAGCGGGACATATGACGGACAGATTGGGAACTGCCTGGCACCTAGCTATACTCGCGCGGGAGGCTGCTTGGGTTTTTGACTTCAGCTCTTGGGAATTAAAAGCCTTCATATGTTCATTACTGCCATACGCAATATACCCAACAAACAGAAACATAAGGGTATTAGAATAAACCAACAATGCTAAACATATAAAATCACACCAAATCCCACTGACAAACATACGCCCACGCCATCCCAACTCTCCCATTCAAAGCCCTGAATTCCTCCGCCGTGACACCCCGCGCATCCGTCCGATCCCCAAAACTCGTCAACACAGCAATCTGCAACTTCTGCCCAGGCGCCCCTAACATCCGTGCATCGGGGATATCGACGTACCAGACGTCTCCGCCGCCACCAGGCGTTGAGCCGCGTACGTGGTTGAATGGAAGACGCTCTTCTTTGCGGCCGTCGATGCCGTGGGTTTGGAGGAGGAAGAGGCCTGGTAGTGCCTTGGAGTGGTGCTCGAAGGTCCAGTGTGGGCAGATGAGGTTAAATTGGACGCGGAGCGGGCCGGGGGTGTTGTTGATGGAGATCTGGTTGGTTGCTGGGTAGAAAGAGGAGGGGTCTAGGTTGTGTTTGTGGGCGTCTGTGAAGATGACGGGGTGTTTGGGGACGTGGAGGAGGTATTCTTCCCAGGAGATGGAGGGGCGGCCGTCGTCGCGGAAGAAGTGGTCGCGGTTGCTTGGGTAGTGGGATTGGCCGAATTCGTCGTTTGTTTTGGTAAAGTGTGACGGCGAGAAGACCTTGATGTAGGGTTGGCCGCCGCCGTTGACGGCGCCGGCGCCCCAGCAGGCATCAATGAGTTTCCAGTGTCCGTTGTCGATGCGGACGGCGTTCCAGGCGTGGCCTCCCGGGTTGTAGGGTGGGAGGGCAGAGCCTGGGGCTGGGTCAGCGTAGCCAGTTCCCTTGCCATGGCCGCCGACGACAATGACCTCGAGGCCAGCGTGGGTTGCGAGAGCTGCGAAGAGGCCGGCGTAGCCTTCGCAGACAGCTAGGCCCGTGGCCAGGGTGCTTTGTGGCGTGGACGGTTTCACGCAGTTGTTATAAAGTGCGTGGACATCGTACTCGACATTGTGATGCAGCCAAGTAAAGATTGCCCGGGCTTTATCCGTTGGCGATGGAAATGGTGCGGTCAGGGCATTCGCCAGCCAGGAAAGGTCCTGCGTTGGCAGTGATTGACGTGGAAATTGCGCCGCATGCTCGTCCGGAGCGGAGAAGTCACGGCATTTCAAGCAGGTCGTAGTCTGAGTCACTGGTGCTGAAGGTGAAGCATTTATACGAGGTTTCGACGCTTCGATCTTGGAGAGATCAGGACGAGAATCCCGTGGCACCGGTGGTGGAACCCCGTTTGGAGAAGGATGATCTTCACCATTACTCTTCTTCGACCCCCCGAATCCAAGCAGACGGGGATCAACCGGTCGAGGCGGAGGCGGAAGTCTTCTCGACGCAGGTCTAGCCTCTCTATTGCTATTCTGCTGTTGCGCCGCCGTCTCCTGTTCTCTCGTAGGTGTCCGTGGAGGAAGTCGAGGAGGCAGCGCGGGAGCTGGAGAACGACTACCATTACTCAAGGTACTGGCATTCGATGCTGGTCGGTGGGGTAATTGTGGTTTTTGACCCTCGTTTTCATTCGTAGTCCCGTTCGACTGAGACACTGGCCGCGGAGGTGGCGGCGGTGGCCTAGGACTCGTCCCCCGTCTTGTGGGCAAAGGGGGAGCCGTTCTCGCCGAAACGGCAGACAGAGATGACGCATTGGAGGTAACTGAATCTCGAGAAACTCCCCGTTGTAATGATGACGGTCTGCGCGGTAGACCAGGGGGCGCTGGGTCTTGAGGTTGAAGCTGTTGAGTGGACGGCCTCCGCGATGGCAATGGCGGGGGCGGAGGCTTTGCTTTCTTGACACCGTTCCCATTAACTCCATTCTGGCCATCCCCGTAATTATTCTCGATATTTAATTTCGGAGTTTGAGGGACCGGCTGATTGCCGATCGAGCGATCCGCGACGGAGCCGTTGACATTGCTCGGAGGATTATTGACCGTCTTGCTGTGCACTGGTGGTGGGCGCGAGGCTGGCTGTGGACGGGGACTAGGGGCCAGGGGTTCTGAAGGCTGGTTGAATTTGGCGAGTCGCTCTTTGAAGGAGAGGACGGGTGCTTCCTCTGTTTCTGTCATGGTAGAGTATAGAGAATTGAGGTGTTGATATCCCCCCTCGACGATCGCAGTTGACAGTGGAGTGGTGGTGGTAGAGAGCGAATGGACGTGGCGAGTCACAGAAATGACTGTTTAGAGCCAACAACAGAGGGCGAGAGAAGAATTCACACCAATAACAGAATAAGGAGAGAGAAATTAAGTGAAGAATAGTAGAGAAGAGGGAGAGATGGAGAGAGGAGGAAGAAATAAAGAGGAGAGCCTCGCAGGGCTGAGCGGCTCCACCTCCGCCCACGGATCTATATAGGAACCAAAGGGGCATATCCCGATACTATACAAATATGTATCTACAAACTCGATTTGAAAACCCTCTTCACCATAATACCACTCAGTCCAACCACAACACACGCCACCGGCACACCAACAGCACCGGTAAATGCTCCCAGGAACCACGCAGACTCGGCCCCCACACTAAACAAATACTTCCATTCCGGCGAATACCACGGCGCAACTAGACTGAAGCACAAGCCAACCCAGAGAAATCCAACGGCCTTGCACCATATCCCCTGCGGTCGCGGGAGAGCAAAGTAATCCCAGAGACCTTGGATGGTGATCTCGATCAAAACGCCCAGGCCGGATAATCCGAAGAAATGCATCGCCCCCGAAAAGGGAATGTTTGCTGACAGAGCACCGAGGAGGTGCATTAATCCAGATAGAGAAAAGACAATCGCGATGTTGAGATATCGTCCCAGCACGGACGAGCGAGGAAGACGTAGGACATGGCGAGTGATCGCATTACTAGTCGCCGTAAATGGCAGTCGCATGAATTGATGCCAACAAGCCCTACACAATTAGCTGTCATATCCAAATGACCATAAGATAGAGACTCACCCCCAAAGATTCCGCAAACTATACGCATCCCAGAAGCTCCCAAATAATGGCGGAAAATTCTCCGTCGGGACACCCATCCCAGCATAAGCAACCGACACAAGCCGGTACGATATATCAAATCCCAGCCGCCCGATCAGCGCAATCACCAACATCGACGCTCCCGACGTCGCCCACGGCCCCGGAGGCAGATCCACTGGTCCCAGCTCCCGAGGACTAGCCGGAAACGCTCTTTGGCTCGTCCACGCCCGGAACTGCGAGAAGAGCAGGTCTAGACAGAGACATTGCCAAAGCGTGATAACCGTTTGTCGTAGCATGAACGAGCCGCGCGCTGGCGGACAAGATTTGTAGTATGGCGGAAATGATGGTATCCCTCGTACTTGCCATGGCGTACTGACTGCCCGCGGGTCAATGGTCAACCGTGCAGCTGTGGCCATGTCTAAATAGCTGCTGCTAGGACCGTTAGGCGGGAATAGCGCAGCAGCTGTCCGCATGACCAGTGGTAAAGGCACACAGCCTTGTAGTATTCGATAGAGGACATTCTCATCGTAGTCCGCGCCAGAAAGGAGATTCTCAGAACTGTAGACCCAGAACATCCACGCTGTCAGAGCGCTCACGTTTACGAAGCGGAGCCATGATCGATTAGGCGTTGCTACCAGGAGAATCCAGGTGAAGAGTTGCTGGATCCCATTGACCACCAGGGCATCTTGCAGGGTCTGGTATGCAGTGGTCATATCCTAAAATATCAATTGAATCGTCTCAATAACAATAAGTTGAAACTGAAGTTCAGCTGAACATAAATATGCTGAGTCAGAAGACTTGGCATTTCGAGGTATAAATGGGTCCAGTGGAGGAACATCTATTCAGTTGTATTAGAGAAAGACCAGGGAAAGAATCAAAACCAAACTCCAATGTCCAGCACTCCGGTTCAGTATCTCCACGACCCGGAAGTAAACAATAATGAAAATTACAGTAGAAGGGAAAAAAGGAATAAGTGAAGACACGAAGAAATCCCAAACGCAGCCCAATGCTGAGAAAATAAAGAATAGCAGAAAAGAAGAGACAGCGAGAAATCTCCTAATGATAGGGTCTTCCGTAGCCATCCTTCAGTCGAGGAAGAGGATGAGCAATCATCAGCATCACACATCCTTATACACAAACTCCATCTCCTCGTTCAAAGGTTTTTGTACAGAAGCAGCGGCTCGCCCACATTCTCGATCTCGGGAATTGTACATTTTAGGTCGAATGCCTTGGACAGGACGATTTTGAAAATCTATTGGGTCAGTATATAGCCTTATAACACACTGTCGAGTGGCATCCTACCTTCTGCACGTTGATACTGTGACTGGTGCTGCTAAAGATTAAACTTGCCTTCATGGCCTTGGCAAATCGTTTGGCCTGAAAGGGTTAGCCGTGTACAGTGCCACTGATGCCAATTGTCTTACCTGAATAGAAATCTCCTCCTGGTCCTCGCGGGGAAAGTTGACAAAATGGTCATACTTTGTCCCGACCAGGAAAGGAATGGCTGTTTTGTTAAACCCACGGCCCTGCCGGTACCACTCCTTGATCGAATTCAATGTACTCTTCCGTGTCAGGTCGAACATGAACAGGATGGCTACAGCATCGTTGCACACGAGCGGAAGCATGTTGACGAATTCTCGCTGACCACCGAGATCCCAGATGGAGAAAGTAATCTCTGTGTTGCGAATTGAGATGGTCTTTTCCATAAAGTTGACACCTTGACACAGTACGAGTCAGCCTGTAACGCTCGTCCCAGGTAAGGAAGCCAACTCACCTAGAGTCTGAATATAATCCTCATCCCAGCTCCCCTCAACATATTTCACCATCAAACTCGTCTTCCCAATCTGAGCATCCCCGACCATTCCCACCTTAATCACCACACTATTCTTCGACGCGGCCTGAGACGACTGTTTCTGCAAATCCTGAGATTGTTGCGAATACCCATGTCGCTCCGCCCCACTCGACAACCCCGAACTCGGTCTCGACGACGACGGCGGGAGTTGTGGCTGATAGGTACTCAATGTGGGGGACTGGTTGAATCGGGATTGTTGATCGGCATCGTATAACGGGGTATAGGAGGAGGAATAATGGGCTCGCGAGTCGCTGCTGTAGCCGTTGTTGTGATTGTGAACCGTGGTCGCTGTGTCTTCTGGAACCTCGGCAGGCTGTTTCTGCGGCTCCGCGACGTTTGGTTCAAGGTACGGCGCATCCATCTTGAAACCAATAGGATAGGAATATGACTCTAACTCTGTGTATGCGGTTTGATGCGGACGTGAAACGATACCGTCAGTCCTTCCGATACAGGACGATACGGATGATGGACGTGCGATGGCGATGGCGATATGAGCGGCGCGGGGACGGAGAAGAGACGGCGCTTAACACACACCAGCGTCTGTCAGGAGAGAGCGACGTTAACTGGCAGACTGGTGGATCCGAATTCGGAGGTTATAGCAAAGTTTTAAATGAGTGTAAGGTCCTTTTTTTGTTTTTCAAGTCTCTCGTTGAACAACACAACTGGAACTCTTCGGAGGGGAAGCAATTCGAAGCCGCACGTTTGTTTAGGCTTGGCAGACCGGACGAATGACGTGAGGAACGAAGTGTGAGCAGTATGCAGTATAGAGATTGAACAATGTGTATACAGCAGGTATAGAATCTGTAAATGAACGATATAGTCTTGGTCTCTTAGTCTCTTATGCTGTATTCACTTTGTACTAGCCCCTCTCCTATTGTACTCCGTCGTGTTTACTATTCTCTGAAGAGGTCCAGCCGATCTGCGCTAGTCCGCGATAGGATTAGCGTCTCTCCCACTTGATTCCGCCCGACAGAAAAAAAAAAAAAAAAAAAAAAGTTCCTGACCACCATAAAGCCCTAATCAGCACGACGTGAGTCGTTAGGGGATTCTTTTTATTCTTTTCTTAATTCCTTAAGATTGATCGTCTTATCATAATATCGCACCATGTCCAAAAGAGCAGCTGACGCCGTTGAGGAACACCCCACCTCGCTCAAGGCTGGTGAGCGACCGGTTGCCGACGCCCCTCCGGACGAGATTGGAGAGTTCGAGGACGAATTCGAAGACGAGTTTGAGAGTGAAGATGAAATTCTGGAGGCAGGTGTAGATGGTCGACCGGATGCTGAGCGTGAAGAAGAAGAGAAGGGTAACTTTTGTCTATTCATTTTGTTTCGTCTTTAAAATTGTGCGCCTGGGCTAACGGTGGAATGAAAAATATGCAGATGGCATGGAAGTCGACCAAGAAGCCTTTATTCCCGGACGAACAAAACTGGGCCCCGATGAGATCCTCTCCCCCGATCCGTCTACATACGATATGCTACACTCGATGAGTACGCCGTGGCCATGCCTTTCGTTCGACATTGTCCGCGATTCGCTGGGCGACAACCGCAAGACCTACCCCGCGACTGTCTACGCCGTGACCGGTACGCAGGCTGACACTGGTCGTGCTAAGGATAATGAATTGATGGTTCTCAAGATGAGCTCGCTGAGCAAGATGGAGAAAGAGGGCGAGAATGATTCGGATAGCGAATCGGACGACGACGACATGGGCGAGCCGATTCTCGAGTCCAAGTCCATCCCGCTAGGTTCGACCGCAAACCGTATTCGCACGCACCAGACACCTTCTTCATCTCCCGACAAGCCTGCGCAGACTCTCACGGCGACAATGCTGGAGAACGCACAGGTGGTGATTCACGATGTCACGCCGCAATTGACCAGCTTCGATGTCCCGGGTACCATTCTTCCTCCGTCGGCTTCGAAGCCGCTGTCGACACTGCGCATGCACAAGTCCGAGGGTTATGCGCTGGACTGGTCGCCCTTGCAGCCGCTGGGCAAGCTCTTGACTGGTGACAATGACGGATTGATCTACGCGACGACACGGACCGAAGGCGGCGGATGGGTTACGGACACCCGGCCGTTTACCGCTCACACATCATCCGTCGAGGAGCTGCAGTGGTCCCCGAACGAGAAGAACGTCTTTGCATCTGCAAGCAGCGACGGCAGCGTCAAGGTGTGGGACGTGCGGTCGAAGTCGCGCAAGCCTGCAGTGGACGTGCAAGTATCGAACACAGACATCAACGTCATGAGCTGGTCGAACCAGACGTTCCACCTGCTCGCAACAGGTGCTGATGACGGACAGTGGGCGGTCTGGGACCTGCGCCAGTGGAAGCCTGGCACGGGATCGGGACCGGGAGGCCAGCTGCGGCCGTCGCCGGTGGCGTCGTTCGATTTCCACCGGGAGCCGATTACGAGTATCGAATGGCACCCGACAGACGACAGTGTGGTGGCAGTTGGATCGGCGGACAACACAGTGACGCTGTGGGATCTGGCTGTTGAATTGGATGACGAAGAGAGCCAGCGGACAGCAGCGCCAGACGTGCCGTCGCAGTTGCTGTTTGTGCACTATATGGACTCGGTTAAGGAGGTGCACTGGCAGGCACAGATGCCGGGAACGGTGATGGCGACAGGAAGCAGCGGATTTGGGTAAGTCACCTTTCTTTTCCACTTGTTGCATATGATAGCTAACAATCTGCAGTGTGTTCAAGACGATCAGTGTTTAGATGTATATACATGAGACGTGACATGATGAATCAATACCTTTCCGTACGCTCCGCGCCCTAGATTTTGTCTGTATGTATTCAGCATACAAGTAGTCCGTACAAGTTCTATGCACGATGCCGAGGGGCAGTGAAATACAGCAGCAGTAGTTCTGACCAATCAGAAGATGCGTCATTTATTGAGTCATTTCCGGTAATATTGTACTATGGCCAGGTACATCGATGTGTATGGCCAGTACAGTACAGGCGAGGTACTTGTGCATAGTTGCATTGTACAAACTGGTGGAGCAGGACGGAGTACGGAGTATGACATGCATATACTTGTGCATAGTAAAAAATAGTTTTATAGTTTATGCTGGGCAGGATGGTAATAAAGCAAACAATCATAGTCTCATTCAGGTATAATAATGCCATTTGCTATTCTGCAAGTACCAGTTTGTAACGGTATCGTCGAGATCGGCAACGGAATAATTCATGCCGTCTTCACTACAAGTACAGACTGTAGCCTTAATATACCGGCTATACAATGCAGGCTGATGCCATTGCGCATTCCGGACGCACCTCGGATATTTGACGGATGGATTGCGAACCACACTGATAGCACCAAGTACTGTCCAGGTACTCTGTAGCCCATACACAACGGAATGCCAAGGTCTTTCTTACTCCAAACATAGTACATTAACTCCGTACCCCTATTGAACAAAGTTGACGGCAGGGAAATCCCCCACACCCCACATCGCGAGGACGGAATATGCTCCGTGCAGATAAATCGGGTTAGTATCCCTATGGAATAAGGGAATTCTAACTGGTGCTCCGTACAGCCACACATCTCGGTTCCTTTGCCACAAAGCTACCACATCCTCTAAATTAGCCTTCTTGGTTCTATTACCCCGGGCTACCGTAAATAGTATAGTAGCAGAGTACAGTACAGGTCTCATTGGCCAGTTGATTGATCGTCAGTCACGAGGTCTGGGGTCGGCTCTATCTTGTTTGGGATTAGCGCCGGTAACTAGGCCTACCGAAGATGCGGATTAGTCAGAATGTTACATCATACTTCATGGGTACGGTACGGTACGGTTATTTTGTGTTTCAAGGATGACTGGTCACCGGTAATAGGATTCAACCCCTGTACTAGTACATAGAAGTACGAGTAGGCAAGTCCTTCCGTGTGATTGTTCTTATAGCAATAGAGTAGTGGTAGATATTGCAATTGAGATACTCTACTTATCTAATTCAATTCCATTATATTCCGTAAATACACAATGGCAATCATATCTCTGCTATCGGAGGCCATCCGACCGTTGGCCCAAAATAAAACACACTAAGCTAAAACAGGAAAGTAGAATACACAATACCGTCCGTGCGTCCTAAACCGGCCGGGTCTCGCCAATCCCGATTTCCGAATTACCGTATTACCAAACCATACCATACAGACCCACCCCCGCTGCCCTGTCACGGGCCATGAGGCCAATGCTTCTTAGTCCACTGGTATCATTAACCAATCAGACATGAGAGTCTAGCTAGTGCATACACTAGTCAACGCTAAACGGGTGATCCATACTCAGTACAGGAATGTAACGATCAGCTCACTCCAGACCATACACGGTACCGTATCAACCATTACCGCGTTTCTGTCGGCCGGAGGCGAAACACTACTCATCTCTTGATTCTCTGCTGTCTATCGCTATCTTCTTCTTTCTTTTCTTTCTTTTTTTCCATCTTTTCTTCTCGTCTCTATTCTTTCTTTTCTTTGCTTTTCTCTTGTAGCCACATATACTTGTACTGTGTGCTACGCTGTACAGAGAACAATTGAGCTCGGATATTCCCGGCTTATCAATCGGTTGCCCCATTCTCGCCGTGGGGAATCCACTATCACTAGCACTTGAGATACTACTAGAGTATCACTATCTTTCGCAGCACTACTCTCAACTCTTCCATTTCATTACTGCCACTGCTACTGTTAAAAGCAATCGGTCAATGGTGGCTAAGCGCTCTCGTGTCTCGCTTCTGTCTCAAAGTAAGTCCTGCCCGTTCCCTGGTTCCGCGAACTTTGAAGCTTTCCCCTGCTGATTACGACCACTTCCAAGCCATCCAGACACGTCTTCTTTCTCTATCTCAGTCTCTTTATTTGAATCCAATCTTTGAACATCAACTGTGTTCAATTTGCGCTGTTGAGATACGTTCTTTTACTCTCGTGGCGGTAACTGGTAAGTTCACAAGGCCTCCAGGCAGCATTCCAATCCTGAGACAATGGCTGACTTGATGTCATTTCGCCGGATAGTTTTGTCGTGATCAATGCCAACTTGCGCCATTTTTACCGTCCTTTGAGATATAATCGTTTTGAATTTTCCCAGCTACGCAATGCTACTGGACTCCATGGTCCAAGATCCAAACACTAGCCCCAAAATGGAGGATCTGGCGAGTATCAGTGAGGTGCCAGCTGGTACGCCATTTATTGCTTTACAATAATTCCCTACTCAGTTCTCTAACTGTCCATTGCAGCCATCTCTAGAGATACCACGAAAAAGACCGAATCCAACGCCCAGACCAATGCCAATATCCCTCCCCCCAAAACCGATAAGCCTCGTCCTCATGTCTGCACAACCTGCAGTCGGTCCTTTGCCCGGCTGGAACACTTGAAGCGCCATGAACGGTCGCATACCAAAGAGAAGCCCTTTGAATGTCCCGACTGTGCACGCTGCTTCGCTCGTCGTGATCTTCTGCTTCGCCACCAGCAGAAACTACACATGACCGCAACTCCATCCTCGCGGCCCCGGAACGGCCGCAGAGAGAGCACCGGTGCTGCTGGGGTTGCCACCGGTGCTACGTCTGGCGCCAATCGCGTGCGGAAGAACTCCATTGCAAGCAACCCCAGCAATGTCCGTCCCAGAGCCAATACGATCAGCCACATTGACCAGGCTGCTCTCGGGGTCGTTGGCACCACCGCCCCCTCCCCTGTAGCACCACACCATCCGGGTCATGCTTATCACCCGAGTCTTAGCTCAACCTCTCTGGGTTCCCCATTGGATTATCGCCCGTTTGGCACGGGCCAGCCCCACCCTCCTCCCCATATCAATGGACTAACCAAACTGGAAACGTCGGGGCTGCCAATGGACTTTTCCGGTGGGCTGCGGACTGCCCCCGTCTACGGTAGCTTTGACGCGAACTTCAGCGACATGCTGATGGGTCATGGAAGCACAATCAACCCAGCGCAGCTGCACTTTGGCGGCTCGCCACAGGGCTTCGACGAGTCTCCTTCCCCTTTCACACAGGCCGCGCACCACATGCAACAGCCTACCGATCCCATGATGGACGATGAGTTCAGTTTTGATTGGATGATGAACGGCGTCGATCCATCGCTACCCATGGGCAACAATGGCGCCGATTCTGCGGTTGACGAGTCCTCTCCATCGGCCATGAGCACGGGGAGCCAGAGCGGAATCAGTGAAGCCATGATGGACGGCCCGCACCGCCTATCTCTCTCGTCCTCCGCCTGGCACAACCCCTTCCCGCACGCCTCTGCGCCCGCCGCGAATCCGTTTGCGTTTGAATATCCCGCCTTGAATGATCTCGGGATCCCGCCTGAGACCGTCTCCCCCAAGTCCCTGATGGCGCAGAATAATCCATTTGCTGAGACGTATGCCACCCCTCCGTCCATGACCTCGGTGGGTCAGCCTATGCTGGGAGGACATTCGCAGAGTATGTTTCCATCCTCTATGGCAACAAGCGGAGAATCTCCTAATCCTTTCCACCTTCCTTTCGCGAATAGTGCCCTACGAAGCAACCGTTCCTCAACCTCCACCGATACCTTTACAGACTCCACTCGACAGGCTTTATTAGCCAGCATGGCCCGACCGTCCGCTCTCCATCATCGCAAGTACTCCCAGCCGATCCTCCCGAGCCACGATCTGTCGTCCCGATCCATGCCCGGCTTCAACAGCACCGGACAATTACCCAGCACCCCTGACATGCAACGTTATATCTCGTCCTACATCACTTATTTCCACCCCCACGCCCCGTTCCTGCACATCCCAACTCTGAACTTCCAGGCTCCTGAATATACCAACAGCTTGCGCACGCCGAATGGCCATCTGAATCTCAGCTCTACCGGTGTGGCCGGTGGTGGCGGTTGTCTGATCCTTTCCATGGCCGCTATTGGTGCTCTGTACGAGTTTGACATCGCCGCCTCCAAGGATCTTTTTGAAGCCGCCAAGAAGATGATCCAGCTCTATCTCGAAGAGCGCCGCAAAGCAGACATGTCTGCTGCCTTGAACCGCTCTCAGCCTGCCAGGGAGAACTCCGTGCACAATACTCCTCTCTGGTTGGTGCAGGCCATGCTGCTCAATGTCTGGTACGGCCACACTTGTGGCGACAAGACGTCTGCGGATATCGCCAGCACTCATTGCGCCGCGTTGGTCAGCCTTGCTCGAGCGGCGGAGCTGACCCACCACCTAGAACCTCAACAGCTGCCACAGGACCACTTGACATCAGGTCGGAATGGAGAGGCAGAGGGCTCTGGGGCATCATCTGGCCCACCCAAGGAGCGTAAAGAATGGCTGGATTGGAAGATCGTCGAGGAACGCAAGCGGACTCTCTATACCATCTTTGTGCTTTCCAGTTTCGTCGTCTCCGCCTACAACCATGCGCCTGCACTCACAAACTCTGAGATTCAGCTCAGCCTCCCATGCGAGGAGGACGTGTGGTCGGCGGAGTCCCCGCAAGCATGGAAGCGGCTAGGCGGATCCCAGGCAGCGAAGAAGCATTTGCCTTTCTCGACTGCGCTGACTTCGCTTCTGACGGCCAGCCAGCGGGAACAATCTGGATCCCATGCCAATTCCCTGACAGATGATGCGAAACCTAGCACATTTGGCTGCCTCGTGTTGATCTATGCCCTACACAACTACATCTGGGAAACTCGCCAGCGTCATCTCGGTCGGCAGTGGACGACCCGAGAGACCGATGCCATGCAAGCTCATATTGAGCCTGCTTTACGCGCTTGGCAATCTGCCTGGGCCGGCAATCCGATCCACAGCTTGGAACGACCCAATCCGTATGGGGCTGGTCCTCTTTCTGCGGACAGTATTCCTCTGTTGGATCTGGCCTATGTCCGGTTGTTTGTCAATCTGGGACGGTGCAAGGAGGCTTTCTGGCACCGTGATTGGAACGCCATTTCCGACGAGCTGGCTCGCGGGACGGCAATTTTCAACCATGTGGATGAGATTACCCCAGATGTGCTTGATCCTTCGATTACCAGTAGCGAAGGTTCGGGTTCGATGCATCCGCGGCGTGACTCCGTGGCGGATCTTGGGGTAGGGGATCTTTCAATTTCCACTACTCCTACGCAGGAGACACCCATGCAAACTTTGGCGGGTGTATATCGTCCGGGTCAGTCCAAGCGCGAGAAACTTCTCCGCAAGGCTGCATTCTACGCGGCTGATTCGATCTCCATGTCCAACCGCTTGGGTAACACGTATGCTGAGTTTACCTCGCGGGATCTACCAATTCAATGTGCGATGTGTCTTTTCGACTGCTCCCAAGTTCTGGCTGAGTGGGTAACCACGGTTCAAGAGCGTGTTGGGCCATATATGGGTGTTTTGGGACGGGATGAGGTGGACACAACTCAAGTGCCTGGTATACTGCTTCTGGAAGACGAGGATTGCAAATTGATCGACAAGGTCAAGGAAATTCTGTCCACCGTGGAGGCTAAGATGCAGATCAACATCCAGAACTGCACAACAGTGTCTGCATTGACTGCGTTACAGCGTCTTCCAAGTGTCGTGGAAGGAGGCTACGGCTCCAAGGTCTTGATTGCGGCTTCCAGCCTCTTGGACAGGGCTGGTGTCTGGCCTGTGACGAAACTGATGGCTCGTTCGCTCGAGGCACAAGCCTTGCGATTGAAGGAGCGTGCGGAAACGTCCTCCGTGATGGGAAGCAGCTAACGACGGTTGCACATGCCTTATATGATTTGTCGACAAGTGCCTTATAACGATACCCTAGACAAGATACCCGACAATATAGGAAAACCGCTCAATTGATTATTCATTATGCTATTGGAGTTGATGGCCGCATTCAATTACGTTTCCCGCTAATATATTATCTTTGGAGTCTACATCAAGGTTTATGTTTTTCTATCCTGTTTCACTCAATATCTGGGTATATGCAATTTATGATTTCACGTCCTTCCACCCTGCCTTCTGCGGCTTGCAATGAAGATGTCATGCCAATGATCTTGCCTTGCGTATGGTGTCCACGGTCAACGAGAACGACTTATGACTGAAGTGACGAATGGCATTTGCCGTGTTCTAATGTGTTTGATTTCTACGGGCCTTTCAACTTTGCCTTTTGAATCTGTTGCCATTTACCTTTCTACGTGAATGTCTGATTTACCCCTTCTCTCTTATTTTTGCATGCTGTTTTGTGGGGATTATTTGCGCCGAGGACAAGGATACGATACCCCTGATTGGCTTTGAAGGGAGGGCAGGGCATACAGCATGGACTGGAGCGTGTCTGCTGTTTGGACTAGAACAAATATCTGGGTTTTCATGTGCATATAGTTTCTGTATATATTTCAATAGAAGCAAGTGCCTTTACTTGTTTACGGGATACATAGTAGCAACTGCTTCTGGAGCATATATATTTCGAGTACAGTGTAGTAGCAGTGACAGTGATATACAAGTACCATTCTTTTGACCATCTCTAAATACACACACTCCAAAACAAAAACTATAAAAAACGACAAGCATTTCAAAAAAAGAAAATTATACAATAAGCCTCTCAAACGAATACTTCCCAACAGCCTTGCGCCGCAAATATCCCATCTCCCGATGACTCCTATTCTTCACCTCACCCGTCGACTGCTTCACCTTCGTCTTACCCACATCCGCGGACGCAGCCTTAAGCGACAACGGCAGCATACGGTTCGCGCCTGCGTCGCCGTCAATGTACCCGTCTTCGCCGGTGCCGTCGGCGCCGGCGGCAGTGTAGACGAGGAGGTCTGCGCCGTTGATCTTTTCGTGCCGGATTAGGGAGGAGGATGCGTCGTCTTCTGTGGCGGTGATGGTGTCGTCAGTGGGGATGAGGGCTGTGGATTTGTTATTGGTGGTGTTTTGTTTGTTGGGCTTGGGAGTTGTGATGGTTTCTGTGAAGCGGAGGTATTCGCGGAGAACGCCCTTCATGTACGTGGCTTCTTGCACGCCTGCCAGTGCGGCGGTCACTTCGGATTTGATATCTGCGATCAGGCTCTGTTCTTCACCGGTTGGGTTGCCGTCTGCGGAGAGGGACAATGATCCCGCGGCTGCGATCCACCCGGATGGTCCAATGGCGTCCACAGCCGCGATGAGCGTGTCCGTGATTGTGGTCAGGGAGAGGGCGGGACGGGTTTGGTCCGTGAGGATCGGGACGGGGGGCTTTTCGGTGAAGCGCGAGGTGAAGCCGCCTGTTGCGAGGGAGATGCGGAGGTGGTGGATTAGAGAGGTGAGTTCTGGGCGGGAGAGGGCGGAGCGGAGGGCCGATGTTGTGGCTGGGGCGGGGTTGGCGTGGAGTTTTTGGATGGTGGTGTTGAGGCCCAGGAAGAGGGTTGCTAGGGGTGGTGTGTTGTCGTTGTCGTTGTTTTCAGTGGTGGTGTCGGTGATGGCGGGGACTGAGGAGCGAGAGCGCGCCATGTTGAGGAAGTACTTTAGTGCATAGGCGAGTTCGTCGGGGTTCATGAGGACGGGTCCGCGAATGGATTGGATGATATTGCGGAGGGATTGATCTGCGTCGATGAGGGCCTGGACGAACGAGCCTGTGGGCAGGGCGGGGAGGATGCGAGGCTTGAAGGAGCGGCGGAGGGCGATTTCGACGTTGTTCAGAGAGAGATGGCTCAGACGGACGAGCCAGTCGCAGGTTTGTTTGGGCCAGAGGTTGACAGTCAGGCGGAGGGATGGAGAGGCGGAAAGTTTGTCGTTGGTCTCGGTTTCCTTGATCGAGAAGATCTTGGAGAGCAGGAATAGGGTTGTCTCGGGGTGGACGAATTGGCCGGGCGTGGGCAGGGTCTTGGACTCACCAGTGCCAAAGTAGTCTTGTACTGCGCGGTCGAAGCCTGCTGTGTCTTTGGCTTGGGTGAATTTGTCGAGTTCCGCGGTGAAGTTGTTCCAGCGTTCGACTTGCTCTGGCGAAGTGAGACCCAATATTGCCATGGATTCGGTGCGGTGCTTCTTGGACCCTGCATCCCATTGTGCTGCCGATGAGCCAATACCACGACCAATGGCGTCTATCAAGAGACCGTCCCTGGGGCGCTTGAGAGAAGGTCCGGACGGCGGTTGCGATGTGCTAAGATCGAATGCAAGCAGTGTGTTTCCCTTTGTTGCCACGGCGATTCCGAGCTTTGCGAAGTACCCGAGGAACAGGGTTGGTGCTGAACCGCTTGTCGGAGGCACGTTGTCCACCGCAATGCTGCGCTGGATGGATTGGTACTGCGTGTCGTAAAGCGCAACCAGCGACTCTCCTGCGCCAATAACCGATTGAGGCGAGATGCGCATGACCGATGAGAAGCGTTCGGTATCGAGAATAAATTGCGATGTCACCGTAGGCGTGTACTGAGAAAGATCGAAGTTGATGAATCCTCGCTCGAAGGACAGGTTCAAGCCCGCTGAGCCCGAGTGGAAGTTCCACTGGAGTCCGTTACTGTCAAACGTCTCTTGACCGGTCACGTCGGGGATGTCGATAGTCAGCAGGTGCCTCAATCGCTGGCTCTCGTCAAGGGCTCCTCCTGACGAAACGGCAGATGGGACGGAAAACATCTGCACTTTGACATCCTTCAGAGCAACCCGCTCCGATCCAGTAGGGTGCGAAACGAGCAGCAAGACAGACGGCTCATCGACACCGGAGCTTGTAAGATCACCTAGGGCCAAAGCTGCCAGATCCTGTCTTCTCTTGAACAGCGCCTTCTTCGCATCCTCGAATTCCACCAAGAAGCACGAATGTACCTCGTGGGTGGAGGCCGTTTTGGCAATCTCGCTGTGCTGAACGTTCCACCGCTGCGTCTTGAGGTCAGACGTCAATCTTCGGATACGGCCGTCCTGGTGAACATTCAGAATATCAAACGGGTCATTCTCGTCGCCCTCCTTCGAGCCAGATGGGACAATGCCGACGAAGACTGTCGGGCTCTTCGAGTCGGTCACGGTAAAGGACGAGGAAGAAATTTCAGGCGCGCTCGATTCGTTCCCGCCGGTTTCCTCCACGAAAGACTTGATCTGCTGTTCCGGACGGCTGACGGCACCGAATGTCTGTCTTTTCACGGTCGACTTTCCGGGCACTTTTCTGCGCACTGAGCATGGACGGCAGGAGAAGGTAGATTGCGGCGGGACGGCGTAGGAAGTGACGAGTTTAGGCGTTTGGACCTGTGGATGTTAGCCAACGCGCGCCAGAAGCAATTGAGAGTGCACACCTACATTATAGATGTTTACAGCCTCTCCGTCAACCGCAACAACCACCTCGTATCTCTTTCGCTTCTTCGACTCGGCCAAGCTATAGACATCACCAATGTGAGTCTTTCCGGTGGACGCGTGCAAAGGGCGCGGCAACTGGGCCAGTACCGACGGAGACTGAAGATCCATTGCCGCGAGGAAGAATGTATGCGCAATGTCGCAACTGATAGAACGACTTGAAAAGCTTCAAAAATTCCGAATTGAGATCGCAAAATCCGAAAAATTTCCGGCCTTTTGTTTCGCCGACCTCCGACAGCCGCTATTTCCATCTTCGGACTAGGCGATACACTAGTGCCGATACGGTAAGATGACGTGAAGAAGGCGGTTTCCCGCGGCAGAAAGGCACGACGCGCGCCTTCGCGTCCTTTTTCGAGTATGAATGGCCGACGGCAAGCATCCTGATCATACAATCAATTCACCTCTTTCTGTTTATTTGTGAGTGAGATTGCTGGTCGCCTCTAGCAGCTCCAAGTGATGAGTCAAAACTCATCATCTTTACATGGCTGCTAGTTCCGCAAGACATGGCGATGGAACAGGGAGAGAAACGGACAATCCATCCGTTCTTCTGTAAAGGTCTGTCTCCATGACCTAGATATCGTGCTCAATTTACTCATATCGGGACAGATCTCGGACTTCAGGCTAAATCAGCAGCTCAACCGACCTCCGTCGCCGATAGCATTCCCTCACATGATACCTTGAATGGCGCAGTACATCACGATACCGTGATTGAAGGTTGCGAACAGCGTACAGGAAATTCGGAGCCATTGGACATTCCCACACCGTCTATTACCGCGATAGAAGATGACCCCAATTCGAGTAGGAGGAAACGGCGGAGGACAGATCAGCACGACGTGTCCGGCATTGTGAATGGTACACCATCGGACGCTGAAGAGAAGAATACTACGCCAGCAGACCCCATAACTGCCTACGAAGATGCCGCCTCTGCGCCTATTATCGAGTCCCAAATCTCTACAACCGACAATGCAGATCGTCCGCAGCCGCAACCCCCGACCATAGAAAACCCTACCTCGACAGGCCCTGCGAATGATGCGACGGTACAAACTGAAGAAAGGCGATATCCAGAACGGCAGCGAACACTTAGGCTGAATCCAAACGGAAAGCTACTAAGCTCACCTATCGGAAAGCAACCGGAAGAAAAGGAACCGAAGAAGGACAACAAAGGCAAAAAGGGATCTCGAAGATCCAAAAAGGATGGCAATAAGCTGGTTATCATCAAATATGCTAGTGATGAAAACGCTAGGGAAAGGATAGGAAAGCTAATAGACGACATCATCAATGGTCGAACAAGACACCAAGCCCAATGTCTTGCTTCTAAACCCGCTTCTGTTCCTACAGCGAAACGGACTCCTCGAGTTACAGTGAACCAACCGTCTAAGCCCACCCACCCGTTCTTCTCGAAGAAATCTACGCGAAAGCCTAATACTCCTACCGAATCCCATGGCGAAGATTCGGAAGCATTGAATCCACTTGCGGAGACCCCTCGCAGGCCCCTATCGTTGACACGAGAGGGCTCAGGCGTGGCTTCTACTCCTTCTTTCAGACCGCGCGTTTCTAAATTTCCTGAACCCATTCATCCTCTATGGCCGCCACGAGATTTCGTTCATGTCCGAGGTGCCGATGCGGACATCAACCCTTATCGAGACCCTCTTCACTCAAATATGGACCAGAGAAAGGCAAAAGGGGTTTCTGTTCGTATCCATGACCAAGAGAATGTACTACTTTCGGGCATATTTGGACAGTCCATGAAAAAACAAGTCCCTCAGGCTCTCCGGTTACCAACGAGATTCGTTGCTAGCGGAAATGTTTTGGGAAAGGCGTTAACGAGCCAACTCTCGGAACATTCATCGAGGCCTGAAAATGGTGATACCGCCTTCAAGAAAGACGCCCACCCTGGGATTTCTCGACTATACTCGTCATTAGCAACATCCATGACTGCGTTTGATCGCGGACAGTGCGACGCATGTCTCTGGACCCAGAAATATGCGCCTACTTCCGCAGAGGAAGTTCTGCAGGCCGGAAAAGAAGCACACATGCTGCGAGATTGGCTGAAGTTCCTCGTGATTTCTGCCGTTGATACGGGAAAGTCGTCCAAAGATGCCGAGAAGGCGAAACAAAAATCGGAAGAGAAAAAGCGGGCAAAGAAGCGCCAGAAAAAGGACAAATTGGACGGATTCATTGTGTCAAGTGAAGACGAAGCGTCAGAAATGGGCGAGCTCGAGTCAGAAGAGGACGAGCTAGCTGGGGACGTAACCGTTTCCTCTTCCAAACGCACTATTATTCGATCTGGTGATTTAGCGGCCGGGTCAAAAGACTTAGAGAGAGGCCGGATGACCAATGCGATTCTACTCAGCGGACCCCCGGGATCTGGGAAAACTTCCTCTGTACATGCGGTGGCCAAGGAACTTGGTTTTGAGGTTTTTGAGATCAACTCAGGAAGCCGCCGGAACGGTCGAGATGTTGTCGAGCGCGTCGGTGATATGACCCGAAACCATATTGTGCACAAGCTGCACTTTGGCGATGAGGGCACCGGCCAGCCATCGGACGGCAGCACTGGAGAAGTGCAGGAAGATGGAAAGCAGAACAAGTTGATGGGCTTCTTCAAGTCAAAACCCGCCGATACCAAGACAAACAAGGAATCTCCAGCCACTCCCAAGGAGGCAGAGCCGGAGGTTGATACAAAGCGATCTCAGAAACAGTCTCTTATCCTTTTGGAGGAAGCCGATATCCTCTTCGAAGAAGACCGGCAATTTTGGTCAGGAGTCATGAGTCTCATCCAGCAGTCGAGGCGACCGATCATCATAACCTGCAACAACGAGAAGCTTATACCTTTGGAAGATATTTCATTTCACGCCATCCTACGATACCGGCCTCCGCCTCAGGATCTCGCTGTCGACTATCTCCTTTTGATGGCCGCGAATGAGGGCCATATGTTACAGCGAAATTCTGTCAGCGATCTTTATCGCGCCGCCGGAAGCGACCTTCGCAAAGCAATCATGGACTTGAATTTCTGGTGTCAAATGGCCCTCGGTTCCAACAAATCCGGCCTTGACTGGATGATGGACCGGTGGCCACCAGGGAGAGATTGCGATGAGAACGGAGACACCCTCCGAGTGCTCAGTCTTAATACCTACCAGCAGTACATGGGGTGGTTTGGTCGTGATATGTTACTCGACGGTACTTTGGATAGCGAAGTTGAGTCTCAACAGGAATCCCTCCATTGGTGGGAGCGCAGTATCCAGGATTCGGAAAACATGGCTTTCTCGAGTTCTCATACACTTTCGCCAGCGAAATCGAAGCTTGAGCAGCTTGAGCAGTTACAATACGAATCCGAGTATGCAGATATGAGAAGCGCCTTGGACTTACTGTGCACGGGCTGCTCGGTTGACACCAGATTGGTAGGTTATTACCTTTTCGAGTGTTAACATGCATTGATTAACATCTGCAGGATGCTGTCGATCCTTCCGTACCGCCAACCCCAGAGAGACACAAAGCGAACTATATTGAAGGTCACCAACTGCTTCATGCTGATCTCAAACCAGAGTACTCATCACTGGCTCTCACAATCGGAAGCACTGCGGAAGTCTTAATCGGAAAGATATTTCGGCCGCATAATGTGGATGTGGAGTCATCGCAAGCTGCACAAGTACTTGCAAACACCAATGAGATCCATGCCTCTAACGCGTCTGCCGCTCAATTAACAACAGCCTTTGAGCCAATGATGCGGGGCGACGATCAGCTTTCTCCAAGTGCACGGCTAGCGCCCTCTTTCCACAACGGACCCGGCGCTCTTTGGGAGGACTTGGCACCGTACGTCCGTGCGATTGTGGCATTCGACCTTCGTCTCGAACAATACCGGTTTAAACTCAGCGGCCTCCTCTCACCTAGCGCTGGCAGTAAGAGGAAAATGCGGAAGACGCGAGCCAGTCGCGCAGCGCTTGAGGGAGGCGATAAAGCACATACTCGACGAGAGAGATGGTTTCCTCCGGACACGAATCCGGCCCGCATCTTGGCCACAGGGAGCAAGGAATGGCAGGACCTCCTTGTTCATAATGGACACTTTATTGTGGGGGTCATGCCGGAGCCTGGTCAAGAGTCTAGAGAGGCTAGCAGGGAAGGCAGCGAACCGGCATCGGAGAGTTCGGGCGAGGGAGGAATATGAGTTGCATGCATTTGTACTAATACAGTTATTGGATAATGATTTTGGCGTGCACATGTATAGCAGATAGTATATAGAGACAAATTAAATAAATTTTGGATGTAAATTCACTGTTGTTGTGTAGGACTTGTAGGCGTGTTCAGGTAGTCATCAGCGGTGGGCCATAACGACATCACCGGCGCAGCTCAGCTTCAGGCGGCCTTATCAACAACTCCTCGTTGCGATCAGCTCCAGCCACCTGCACACGCAGTTCCTTTGCGCTTAATCCCTGTCTGAGCATGGATTGATGCTGCTCTTTTCTTTTTATTCATTTCTTCCGCAGTGGCTGGTCTAACTCCAATCAACAGCTCCGCCAGCCAACGCTTACTTGGGCATCATAACATCACCACCTAAACACCGCTCACAATGTCACTCTTTGGCTCCTCCCCAGAAAATTCCACACCCGGATCAGCCCAGCGATCCAAAGCCTCCCTCTTCGCCGACGACCCCCTTTCAAGCAGCGGAGTCAATAACACTGGCGCAGCCACCAGCTCCCTCTTCGCCGACGACAACGACACCACCTCGCCCTGGACAACCAACGCCAACAAACGAGCCTCCCGCACCGATCTCGTCAGGACACTTCTCCCAGACACAGACGTCCCCGAGAGCTACATCGATGCCTACGATCGGGTTCTGGATGCGGGGGACCGCGTTGGGGCTGGGATTGGGCTGACCTCTGTGAGGGAGGTGTTGGCGGGAAGTGGATTGAGCGCGTCGGAGCAGGCGAGGATATTGAATTTGGTGGTTTCGGGGGAGTTGGATAGTGGGAGGACAGATATTGGGGTTGGGAGGGGGGAGTTTAGTGTGCTTTTGGCGCTTGTGGGACTTGCGCAGGAAGGGGAGGAGCTTACGTTGGATGCGGTGGATGATAGGAGGAAGAGTGAGTTTTCTTACTGTCCCCTTGGGAGTTTTA